AAGGTAAAACTCTGCTTTGACAATCTGAGTCTGGGGGAATAATTCCATGTGAATGTTGAAGAGAACAACATGAATTCTTCTGGGACCTGCAGCTCTTACACTGTAAGAATTGCAGGGTTGTTGTTTTTTTCTGGTGGAAGCTGCAGACCCTCCTCTGGTCACCAGTGATGATCCTCCACATGAAGGTTGGATCATCCAGCTGCTGACTGACACAGAATGTGATGTTCGCTCCAGAAAACACAAAAACATCTGTAGCACAGGTTCTGATGTTGGTAGCACAGTGTCACACAGTCTTCTTACTTGTGACAGCTACTGGGTACCTGGATACACCTGTGTAATGGACCCAGTCAGCCATCAGGCAGTTCCACTGCTCATTCAACAAGCTTCTTTGTACGTTTAGATGGAAATGATTGCGTAACACACGAGTTATGGGCCTTGTTTGTGGCTTTTTCCTCTGATCCTCTGGAAACAACAGGCTTTATGTCTTTCTCCCCCAGGACTCATTCAGAGGCAGTCAAAGGGTCGGTTTTATGTTGTTTGTTGCCCACATTATCGTCGACATGTGGCTTAATTTCATGGGTTTTCATGTTGGTATGTTTCCTTGGGGGTGATCATTTGATTTGATTTGCATGCACAGACTGTGTTTTTATCTTCTCTTTCTATCTGGAGTGTCAGAACAAGAGACTAATATGTACGCAAATGTTAGGGAAACAATAACACCCCCTGTGAGTCGTTAAAACCCACATAAATATACTCAGATAAATGATGACTACACAGATTACACGAGTGAAACACAAACCTTCTAGACTCCCATGTGTTGCACCCATGTGACTGTAGCGTGCAGCTCCGACGCTCTCTGAACTTTTCTAATGAGACGTGTAGGGTAATGTATGTTTATCACAGCTCGCTGGGTGTTTCTTCATGTTTGTGTGCACCATCCACACCTAAACATCACACGTTCAGTATACTCCTGGACTTCAACAGGATAGCACGTCTGTTTCTGACCTTCCACCGGAGCAGCAGCAGCAGCCGAGGTGCTAACAAACCAGCGTCCTCCCGACTGTAGCGCTCGGCCTCAGGCAGCTGCAATGACGGGGTGAAGTCATCTGTTAGAGTTCCTTCGCTGAATCATCCCCCCTGTGGCACATTTACCAGGCTGTCATCTTCACGCCTACTTCACACACACATATCTACGCAAACACACACACACGTATACACACCTCCGACTTGGAGCAGATGGCAGAGTTAATGTGGTCTCGGCTCCACAGGCCGAAGCAGCCAAAATATCCTCCCAGTAAAAAAGGTGTGTTTGAGAGTCACAAACAGATGCTGTCCTTCTCAGAGGCCTGTGTGTGCTCGGCGTTGTTGTATGTGTAACGTTACGTTCACATGCCATCCACTGTGTGTTCGTCGGGCGGCGTGTGTGTGAAGTTGTTTCCAGCTGCAGTTAATGAAGTTTCCAGTTGTTTCATGTCTGGCTGGGAGAGGCTCCGAATGCCACAACAGAAAACACACCGCTGAACCTGAACCGAGCCTTTTGTTGGACTCTGATAATAGCTGAGAAAATGATGTTTAATCACCTTATTCACCGCATTCAAAACAAAGATAAGTGTTGAGCAGTGGCTGTTTGATCAGACCTCACCCTCCTCTTTGATTTATGTCTTTGTCCGCTTGGACTGCGACCAGTTTCTTTGTGTACTGATGTTTAATAACTTCTTCACATGTGGTTAGAATTCATAAACGCTTGCTGAATCTGCAGAAAGAGAAATCATATCTTTGTGATTTATTTGCTACATGGACACTAAATGCAGTGGTTAGCTCGACACACCTAAAAAACATCCACACCGTTAAAAGTGAATCTTGTCTTCACCAGTTTTTAATTAATCATTTTGACAAATTGCTGTTATTTGACAGAATTTCCAAGTTTTATTAAATTGGGGGGAAAAAAATATTCATTTACATGTTGACCCTAAAAAAACAGGCCAAACTGCAAATATTGTCCACATAAAGACATCGCCTTTTGCAAATGTGAATTTATTGTTTTACAACATTTGACTGTAAATGACACTTTTATAGATATTTGCTGATGCCATGATTTAAAATCACTTTTTTGTTTTTTACAGTTTTTTTTTACTGTATATAAATCAGCAAAAATATTTTGTACACATATTTGCCATTATTAAATGGAAAAATATGTTTCTAAATCACTTTTTTAACTGTTATTTTATAGCTTTACCCTGTTTTATCACATACAATATCTGATAAAACCACAAAAAAAATATTAATCTGCAGGCTTAAATTGTGTCATAATGTCTGTATTAAAAATGTTTATTTTAACAAATAGTAATTTGTTCTTTTAGTATGTGCAACTATAAAATCACAGTTTTTCTGTATTTAAATCAGCTAAATATATCTTTATTTTTGCTGTTTTAGCAGTTTTTCAATGTTTCAATATTTCAGTTTTTTAAAACATATTTCTTCTGGCTCCCTTCCTGCCAGATTTGAACAGTTTTTCTTTTTCTTTTTTTCACACTGCCGGACTTTTTCGTAAAGCAGGGCCTCTCTTATAATCTAATTGCTGTTATGGAATTCTTTGTTGTGGTAATAATGAATTAGAATTCCTCATGTGGCCACATTTTAATTCATGTGAGCATAAATTGTGTTGACTTGTTGTGGTGCCATCTCCGTGTGAAATTCGTCTCGTCAGTGAAATGTACAAAGTTAATCACGCAGCGCCACCTTCAGCCTCCTTCTGTCCGTCTCCGCCTGTATCCGACTCTCTGTCCATTTATCTCCTTCTTTCTGAACCTCCATCTGTCCTCCTGTTGTGTCCCTACAATGAATCCTTAATGACTCCGTCTGCTCGGGGCCAGACTCCGATGAAATGTAATTCTACCTGTCAGGGTGAAGAGCACCTCGGTTAAATGTTTAATGGTTGGTGGCCAAGAAAACACAAGCAGCTGAGTCAGGAAACACTCTGTCCACATTTGACAGGCTAACAGGCTAGTTATATACCACAGGCATAGAAAAGATTACCTCCACGTTAAAAAGTGGTCACACCTATTAGTAACAGCCAGCAGGGGGCGACTCTTATAATCTGTGAGAAAATGACCCTAATTCTCACTTGATTTGTTGCCTCAGCAAACATTTTACTCATCACTTTATGGTTTCAATTGCTAGTTTAGAGACTTTTTGAATACAACATGATGGGTTTTTTGGTAAATTTCCATTTAGAGGGAAATGGACGATAAAGTTTGGTATAATTTCGATGAGACTTCTTAAAGCTTCAGAACCAATGGGTGATGTCCACCTTTTACATACGCTTTATGATTTCAGGCTTTAACTCGGAACTGCTGACCAAATGCAGTTTAGCTGAAATAATAACTTAAAGAAAGATCTGCAGTAATAAGTATGTTCACATTGTTGGTTTTCTGTGGCGCCACCATGAGGTTGATGTTTGTAATTTATGAGTGAAAAGCCTATTATTTTTTTTTTTCCTTTTGCTAGATTGTTATATAAATTGTTACCGTCTTTTATACCCTGTTGGGGAAAGTTGCCATGACTCGTATTACCTTAAGTAAGAAAACAAACATGGTCATTGGTCAGTTGAGTATTGTATACAATATAGAGAAGAGTTTATCATTGCAGTGACACAAACTCTTTTCTTTGGGCTTTCTATAAAAATGGTTATGAGTTTAAACCTTGTGGTCCAGCTTTCCATGCCATATAGACCTCTAAGTCCTACATTCCTTCTGCAGAACAGCTTCCTACAAATGAGATCCGAAGAAGGAGAACGACACAAAAAGCTCCACCCTTCAAGTTGACAGAATTGGTGCTTTAGGTTTGTTATAGGTTGCTGCACTGCGGTTTCAAGGTGGAAATTCTTAACCGTGGAGATTAATTTACTCCTGATGTGTCTGACAGGATGAGATAAGATAAACTTTATTTATCGCTCACAAGGGAAATTTACATGTTACAGCAGCTGGATAAAAATGAGGCATGGAAGAAGCAAGACAAGAAATACTAAAGTACAGTCAGGCTAAAAATAAAGATCTAGGAATGATAGAGAAAAGACCTGGTGGAAGCATGTGGCATGTAAATGTATTGTGTAGCATAATAAAAAGAAAACCCATGTAGACATGTTATGGCCATAAAAAACTCAATTCCCACTGGATGGGTTCTCAGCTTGGTACACGTGACCAACTGGAGCTTGAAGTGATTGACAGTTTGAACGATTTTGTGCTTCCTGCAGGAGGAGAAGGAGCAGCTGATCGAGTACCGCAGCACGGTGGCGAGCCTGGTGGGCCGGGCCAAGACGGTGGTGCAGCTCCGCCCTCGCAGCGCCGACTTCAGCCTGGCAGCCACGACGCCCATCAGAGCCATCTGCGACTACCGGCAGATCGAGGTACAGCACCACCACAGACCCATGAGCACGTGTGTCCCGCGCATGTCGGCAAATAAAACCCAGAAAATCTGAGATAAGAGAAAAATGAGCCAGCCATGCTTTAAATATGTGTACATATATATATATATATTGTGTTTCAACCCTCACCACCAGCCGCCTCCTCCCTGCCCTGCACTTCCTCACCAAGCCCCTCCACTTGGTAACTGTTCTATTTTAGCCCTTTCTTCTTCCACGCCGTGAAACTTAGTTTGTTTCAGTTTTAAATCGATGAAAAAGCCTCTCCTCAGTCGCTCCTTTCCTCAGCCTCGGTGGTCCGCGATGATGAATCGACTACAGCAGTGGATTTCTTTTCTTGGCAAGTTAGCTGGCAAGTAGCAGCAGTCAATTTGGAAGCTGACTAAGCATAATGATTGCGGTCCAGAATGTACAATAGATGATTCTTTTCCTTTGTTCTCTTAAGAAAAAGTCCAGAAACAGTGAAAAGATACTCGGAAGTAAAGATTGGTGTGCGGAGGACTGAGGCTGCACATCCAGCTGACTCTCTCAGGCCCAGCTGCCGCCTCCTCAGGGAGTCTAAAAGCCAATCAATTATACATCTGTCCCATCCTCGGAGTTAAAACACCAGCAGCCTGGCATGGACACACAGCTGCCCTCTAATGCTGCTATATTTAGTGCGCTGGGTCAGTTTGCTCATCAAAGCGTAGTGAATGTGAGGGCTTGTATCCAGGTGAAGCAGGAAGGTGGTTTGGACACTCGCCTCATCGCAAAAAAAAAGAAAAGGAGTTAAAATATAGATGAAATCTGCCTCAGAGCTGAAAGTTACACTGAAACGTAGCAGTGCTGATTTTCACCAAACTCAACAGTAATCTTTCTCTCCTTCACTTTCCTGTGTCTTCTCCTGTCTCTCCAAACCCTCCTTACCTTTTCTCCCCTCTCACTCCCTCGTCTTCCTCGTTCTCTTCCCTCCCTCTCGTCTGTCGGCTGGCAAGACAAACGTTCAGGTATAGCTGCCTATATTCTCCCTCTCTCACCTCTGATTCTTACACTGCACACACTGTACTGCCGCGGTTGCCGCTTTCTTATCAGCTGATTTCAGGTTTTGTAATTGGCGTTACAATGGAAGGTGCAGCCAATCTGATTCCTGCCCTGATAGATTTCTTGGAATGAGATGAGTTGGGAAATTGTGTATGAATTAGTTCTGAGTACGATACATTTATTGGATTTTCCACCCTGAAGCAAAAGTCAGAAATGGAAAATGGAGTTTAATTGTTCTGTCTGCAAATAGAGTTTGGTTTCGTCTGTTTATTTTGTATTTTTACCGACAGACAAATCACGTTTTGTGTTTTAAATGTGCAAAGTGTCTTACTGACACCAGAGAGCACCATTCTGAGGACAGTAACCCCTTTCAGACATGTACACACATCTTTATTTAAACATACAAAATGTGATAACATGAGATTGGACTGTACATCAAGTGATGCATGATACAAAATAATGTGCTAATAAGCAAAAATAAATAAATCAAGACTAACAGCAGCCTCATCAAACTGTCCTAATACATTTCTGATTTCCTAACACTAATAATTCTGTCCATGTGTGAGGATGATCTAACTACTACTAATAATGAACATCCTGACAGCTGTGGCGGAGCTCCAACGTGACGACCACAGCTGTACAACTAATGATTTAACTGCAGCTGATAAACTGATGAAATATAGGTGAAGAATACACAGTGTGATAAACCAGAGCTGTACAGTTTGTAGAAGATATCCAAATACGATTTTACTGACAAATATCAGTTTGATTTGTGTTTTTTATTTTTTTAAACCAAGCTTCAGTTCAGTATTCACTCTGTTATAGATTTAAAACGTATAATGCAGTGTTAATACATGAGATACCATCAAAAACGTCACACAGAGACGACGGCATGTCATTTAAATCCTGAGTCAGACATGCTGCATAATCTATAAATTGCAGCCTTTGCTAATTGCATTTTTAATATTGTGATTTGAAGTTGATTTAGTTCACATCTATTCTTTCTCCATGTCGAGAATCATTTTAAAACTAATAAGTTAGGTCACTGCTTTTCTCTTTTTTGAGATGCACACATGGATCCTGCTGCTTTCTGATGCTGCAGATGTTTAATATACTCAGAGGAAATAAACCTCAACAGCTGGAAGCGACAAACTAAACTTCAACTCCTGTTAGTCAAAACCCAGATTACATCCATTGTTGGTGACTCTCATTTCAGACACAGATAACTGGTGGTCGTGCGCATCCATCCGCTAATTCAACAGCATGAAGTTTAGACTTCTGCTATGTTAAAAGCGATACAGAAATGTCACTAGACGCCAGGACTTGTACAAAAAACGACTAGGCTAGTTTAGTCAGATTTACAGAAGGACGTGCATGTCTGAAAGGGGCTACTGACAGTTTTAAAGCAATAGGGTGCTCTTCAGACACAGTAGATTTAAAACCATTTTGCATCTCTGTGTGTCCGTTTATTCTCCTGTTGCACATCTCGATAGTTTTGCACAAACGTGAGGATAAAATCAACCTGCAGCTGCATCATGTTAGTTTCTGGTCTGAGATCAGTTGATGAGGGCGGGTGGCAATCACTGAACTGAACTGATGCGTCCTGCCTCTCAGGCTCATTCAGTCAGTCAGAAAATAGCCAGTTTCAATATACATTTCATGTACTTTACTGTATGTGCACAGCTTTGCATTATTGATGTGTGTGTGTGCAGGGAAGGGGTGAGAGAGGGTGGTGGGTGGGGGAGGCAGTACAGCTCTAGATGTTTCTGTGCAGCTCTAAAACTAAACTCTCCAGCTTCTGAAGCCAAACTCTTTGTTTTTTGTTTTTATAAAATCCTGCGCTGGGTTTCTCGAAGGCTCAGTGGTGTTGAATGAAACCCAGCTCAGGTGTGAGTAACGTTCACTTTGAGTTTGGACAATGTTTGCTGCTTTCACAGTAAAAGCTTCAGCGGTGCAAAGCAGCTTTCACACCACATGGCATCGTTCCTGTCAGCTTCTCTAATATCATGTCATTGTAGGGCTCCTGCTAACCTCATGAAGTCCATGAACGTTTGCATTTTCTGTTGCATTATGAGTTTTTCTTATTATCTTTTCGTTTACATGTTTGTTTGTTTTTTTCCTTCTCTCCTCTCTGACGTCACCTCTCTCGCTTTCTTCTTCCTCCATCCATCCCATCTCCGAACTCATCTTTCTTTTATGACTCCCTGATGTTCAAACCTTCTTCTTGTCTTTCTCTCCTTCTGTCCATCTCATTCGTCATCCTGATCCGTCTCTCCGTTCCTTCCTTCATCCTCCATTTGTGCTCCATCCATCCTTCCCTCGCACCGTCTCTGTTCATCCTCCTCCTCCTCCTCTCAGATCACGATCAGTCGAGGAGAGGAGTGTGTGCTGGAGGACAACTCTCAGCGGACCAAGTGGAAGGTGATCAGTCCGACGGGGAACGAGGCCATGGTTCCCTCGGTGTGTTTCAGCGTCCCTCCTCCCAACCAGGAGGCCATCGACACGGCCGGCAGGTCAGAGACAGACTGAAACCTTAACGTGGACTCTTTAATGAGTGCTGTCGTTGGTAGTAGAGGTCATACTGTGGATGTCTTCTAACAGTGAAAGGCATTTTTATACTTGCAATATGCAGATACCACAGATTTACAGGATTATTGATATTTTTCACACAAAAAAGTGACTTGAATTTGTAGATTTAACTTTGTTTACCAGTAAATAAAACAAGTCTGTTCTTTCAGTATATCTGAACCTTTAGAGACTCTAATCATTTAAAATAAACACATTTATACAAGTTTCTATTTATTTTTCGCTTTTTATTTTTGGTTAATCTTTTAAATAAACATTCAACACATCAAAATAACTTCAAACTAACCTGATTATTAATCCTGATTAAAAGCCTTTAAACCTGTAGTGTGGAACTCTTGTCTCCCCCTTCTGGCAGTGAGAGTAATTACACAAACACTGTTGATTCCTGGTTGTGACGTATGTCAGTCGCTTTCGGTTTTAGAGTGTAATCCTTCCTGTGAATGCTGAGTTTCGTTTTTATCTGGAGCATCAGCAACTTTTTTTGGATGCCTCCCATGTTTTTCCCACATTAACTTCACTGTTCTCCTACTTGCTGCAGCTGCTCAGTATTTTTTGCCACAGTTGAATCATTTGGGAGAAAAGTCGCCACAGACACCAGATTTAAAACTCCTGTTTACAGTGAAATACGCAGAGAGCTGCACTTTAGCTTTACCCTCGATGCTTATGTTTGCTCGGTAATGTCTGGATTCTTATTAATGTTCTTTGTGTTTACAGGACAGAGCAGTTGTACCAGAAGGTCATGTCTCTGTGGCATCAGCTCCACGTCAACATGAAGAGTGTGGTGTCGTGGCATTACCTGCTCAAAGACATCAGGACTGTATCCGGATGGAGCCTGGACACGGTGAGATGATCTGTTTAAATGTGAGGCAGCTGGTACATTAAATGTGAAGTATGTGCGTCATTTTAACGCTGAGAAAGTGATTTATTGTTACTCTCTGTTTTGGTCAACTGTTGTTGCTGATCTCCTTCCTCTCTGCCTCGCCCGTCAGGTTCGTTGTCAGTCTCCGTCAGAGCGACAACACGTCCTGGATCACCTGGAGACCCAGCTGGCCGACTTTCTGTCAGACAGCAAGGAGAGCTCTCTGTTCACGACAGTCGAAAGACGAGAGCTGGAGAAGGACGTTCAGCAGGCCCAGCAGCACTGCCAGGACCTGCTGCTCAACATGGAGACCGGTGAGGCAGATTGGACCAACACATGCGTGCACTCACTGACTTTTAATCCCGAACGCTGTACCTCTGCAGAAATGAATCTGTGTCCAGTGTGTACCAGCATTTTGGCCTGTTAAAATGGTACTCAGAAATAGGCCAGCGCCCTGTCTTGCAGTTTTAGCGATATCTGTTTGACAGCGTAGCAACAAACAGTTGGTCAGAGCGTTACTGTAAAGGTCTAAAATAACCCTCCTCTCTTCCCGTCTTTTTTCTTTCTCCGTTCAGTGGAGAAGGACGAGTCGGTGTCTCGGTCGTACCTGTCCGAGCTGCAGAACGTCACCCTTCGTCTGAACGAGGCCGAGCAGAGGCTGATGAGGGGGATTGAGACTCCGCCCCCCAGCCGGCTGTCAGGTGACAGCACTGACAACGCCGTCCGGATAGCCGAGCAAGAGGTCAGTTTGAGCTCCACCTGCTGGTTGTACAGAACCATAACGCCTTTCATTGAGTTAATATTTACATCAGTTGGTATTTTTGACACATTGCAGTAAATTTTTACGCAGCATTACTTTTTTACATTGTTGTGATGTGTTTCAAGAGCTAAACAATTTTCATGCCTTCATAGTTTTCAGAAAACAATTTCATGCACATATTGATCCTAGATGTCATCATGGATGTTACAACAGTATAATTTAAGTTTACTTTAACAGATGTGAGAGTTTATGCAGATATTTGTGTTTACTTCACTCTTGTAAGTGCAGTTTGAGACAAAAGAGCTATGATGTTATTAAATAAGCTGCATAAGAAAATCGAGGGTTGTATCAGTTTTTTTAGGGAGAGTACATTAAAGTTGGGGTAAGCAATTCCTGAAAAGATTTGCAGATATTAGAAGAGGTAGCCTGCAGCTAAGAATGATCTTGCTGCACTCGTTATGAGTCTGGTACAGGACAGACAAAACACGCTTGGTTCTTGGTGCTTCTGCAAACCAACTACCGTCATCATGGACAGTCTAAGCACGTTGTAGCAAAGATGCTCCTACAATAAAGTGATGGATGAACCTGTTGTAGTGCAGTTTTTGCATGCAGGGAGGTGAGCACTGTAAACAAAATGAATCACTGAATCACTAGAAGGTTGTTGCTTGGAGGCTGTCGATGGTGTTTCCTGCAGCGAAGAAGATTTAGAAGATGGTAACATGCAGACAGTAAAAGAAGAAGACAAAGCTGTGTGAAATTAAAGACTTATACGTGAAGTGTACATCTGGTCGGTCAGACTAGCATTTAGGAGCTACAGTCCTCTTGTTATACCAGCTAAAGTTGGGACAAACTGTACAAACTGCTGCTACCAAAACCCACCCACTACAAAAAAATAAGAGAAAGCAGAGTCTTGAATTCATCCTATCGTCCAAAAAAAGTGTAGAGATTCATAAAACTGTTGTACGAGCATCAACGCTGCCTGTTGCTGTTTGGCTGGTAAAATGTTCGGTCCAAATCACTTGTATTATCCCATTTACAGAGCCAGAGCTTCATCACCGTACATACATACATACAGAACAGAGACACTGAGGCTGACAGAAAGTGTTTTAGATTAGCGTGGCTTATCAACCTTTAATTAACCTGCCTGTCCGTGGTTAAAGCAACAAGCATACCGTTTGGTCACTGATGCCATTTTGCTCTCCTTTTATCTAACTAAAATCCTGTTCTTGTCCAGAAGCTGCAGTCGGAGCTGGACGCTCTGCGCTCCAGTGTCGGTGATGTGTCTCGTCGCTGCGTCAGTTTTTTCGAGGAGAAGCCGACGTCCTCCAGCGTTCCTGCCCTCCGATCTGAGCTCAGCCTGGCTGTGGAGAAGATGGATAAACTGCACAACCTCTCGTCTGTCTACCTCAAAAAGTTAGTGAGCTGCAGGGAGCTGCTCTGTTTGTTGGTTACGTCTGAAATATTCAAGAAGGTTTCACTCACAAAATATGTGCAATTCACCTCTGCAGGCTGAAGACAGTAGACGTCCTGATTCACAGCCTGGATGAAGCAGAAAGTCAAGTCAGGAAGTACGAGAGCAAACTAAGTGAAGAAGACATCGTTCCTGCCGACACAACAGCCATTCAAAACCTCAGAGATCAACTCGGGGTAAAACACACACTGTCAGGTAGAATCCTCTCACATCCAGCTGAAGAAACAAACTCTAACCTTTGGGCTTTCTGTTTGTTCTCCTTGCAGAAGTGGCAGGCGGAGCTCTCTGAGCAGGAGGGCATCTTCCAGTCGCTGCAGGCCGAGGTGGGTCGGGCCAAAGAGGCGGGTTCTCAGCTCAGCAGGCTCCATCCAGACCGAAGCCCCGAGCTGGAGCGCTACCAGGAGAAAGCCAATCAGATGGCGGAGAGGTGGAGCGGAATCAAAAGACAGATGGAGACACGGTGAGCAGCACAGAAACATAGAGGAGTAGAAAATAGATTTGGTGAACAGGAGGAGGATTAATAAGTTTAATTAACTTGGTGAGGAGGAGTGTTGTGAGGTTTCGTAGCTGATTCTGTGCTCTGATTGTTTAGTGAAACGTATCATGACAGAACATGTAGTCGTTTACTGTGTGGCTTCAAAACACTTGAGATTAAATAAACTTCACACATTACAGCAGCTATATACATAACAATAAATAAAGATATAATGAAGACTCTGTAGATCTTATGCATGTACAAATATGATACACACAGTGTGTAGAACTGTACTTAAAGGCTATAAAGAGTAACTTTATAAATGTGTTATTGCAAAGAAAACCAGTGTTTCTTTATAGTACTGCACTTGACGAGCTATAAAGAGAAGAGTGTTACATTATATATGCAGTGTTTAATCATATGTAGTGTTTCCTATTAATTACCGAGGCTGTAGTGCCGTGTCACAGTTTCATAATGAACCAAAATTCAGAAATCTCACACAACACACATATTTAGAGTGCCACTGCTCAGAATAATAACTCTAAACACTCAGAAACTATAGAGTTCTGACAATTTATCATAGTTGATGAAGCTAACAAAGAACAGGACGGTTTTCAAGCAGCACTTTGCCATAGATGTCTTCACCACGACTGGGAGTTTATGCTTTAGCTGTGTACAGTTTTTATCAGGCAGAACTCTGCATAGCAGCATCTCTGCTCTGGTCTAATGAGACCTTGTGGTGATGTTACATAAACTGACTCAGACGTGAACACGACAAGCAACATTTAGGCAAATGTTATACTGAAGTTCAGCTCCATCTACACACTTTATAGCTGATTACAGTCACATGATCACCTCTGTCTGCGTGATCTTCACTGTGGCTGCAGCTACGTGAAGCGAACTTAACTCTCAAACTCTTGCAACAGAAAGAAAGTGGCTCATTTCCCACCACAAAGGTGCACTGAGCTACATGAAATCCAATCTAATTCAGTAGGAAACAGATTTATGTTTGTGTTGTTTATGTTCTAAAAGTCTTTCTCTGTTTCCCTGCAGACGGTCTGATCTGGAAGGTCTGGGCTCGGCACTGCAGCAGTACAGAGACGGACACTCTGCTCTGATTAAATGGATCGAAGAGACGACGGAGAGACAAGAGAACACGCAACCTGGACAGAGTGACAGCAAAGCGCTGTCTGAACAACTGGCCCAGCAGACGGTCAGTAACACAGAGCTCACGGACTTCTGTCTGTAGGTTTATACGTGTAGTAGCAGGATTCAAGAGTTTTTATTCTTCACATGTTCATACAGTAAAAAGCAGTGAAATGCAAAGTGACTGTTTGACAAGGCTGTGCAATGACAACAAAACACGTTCTTTAAGAGTAAGAAAAGTCATAAATAAGGAGGAATGAAGAGATTGTGAAACTCAAGTGCAGGTTACATTATGCAGAAGTTATATTTTAACATTATGCCTGTATTTTAATGTTGGTTTTAGATCTGAAATAATTTGATAAGTGATGGAGATGATAATGCTTTATGTGTATTTTAGATATGTTAAGAGAAAATTTAAAAAGAAAAAAAGAAAAAAAACACACATTGTGATAGAATGACTTTTATAAATTCTGTTTGTTTATTCTGTTTTCAGGCATTAGTAGCTGAGATCGAACAGAACCAGACCAAACTAGACGAGTGCCAGACTCACTCCAAACAGTACTGCACCTCAGTGAAGGTAAGACGCTGCTTCACAAACACTTCTTGTGTATTTAAAGGTCGGAAACCGGGTTTTATCTTTAACAATGTGTGATATTTAAAAAGTGTTTTATATTATCCATTTTTTTGAAATCTTCATCGTATTTGCAACTAAAGCTGCCAGATGAATGTAGTGGAGTAAAGAATGCATTATTTCCCTCTGAAATACAGTCGAGTGAAAGAAGAAATTAGCATAAAATAAAAAATACAAGCATTTCAAAAATCATATTTCCTTCCATCACTTGAGTGTGAAGTTTTCCTTCCTATAATTCTCTCTCTAGCATTCTGTTTAGCATTACAAGTTTATTTCTACATCAAGTTCCTGCATGTTTTTCATTTTTTAGGACTATGAGCTGCAGCTGATGACATACAGAGCCTTTGTAGAGTCGACGCACAAATCGCCTGTCAAGAGGAGGAGGATGCACTCCTCCTCTGACGCCATCACTCAGGAGGTAAACAGATTAGACATATAATCATTACAGTAGTGATTTTTGTTGAAAGCAGTTAAACTCAGTGTTTTGTATTTTCCTGGATGTGGTAAGTGATGTCCACATTTATGTGTCTCGACAGTTTATGGACTTACGCACACGCTACACAGCCTTGGTCACCTTGACAACGCAGCATGTAAAGTACATCAGTGATGCTCTGAGAAGACTGGAGGAAGAAGAGGTGACGCTTCGTTTAACTTCAAACGACTCTTTTGCTTGGCATGATGCTCGTCTATCATTAAACACCAAAGTGTCTCACTGACAGCAGTTTGTGATGAATTTGTCTGCTGTTTCTAATGTGATGTTCTGATCATTTCTGCCTCCAACCTTTGATCTGTGCAGAAAGAGGTGGAGGAGGAGAGGCAGGCCAGGGTGGGTCAGGTGTCGGACCTCCTCGGCTGGGTCAAAGGCCTCCAGGGTCGGACTGGAGGACCCAACGCTGAGTCCTCCCTGGCTGCTCAACAGGTACATCAGCACACTGTTTCTGCTCATATTATTATGAATATTTAAAAGGTGGTGATGTTCAGGGATGGATACCCGATATTAAAAAGACCCTGGAGTTAAATGATTAAAATGCAGAAGATCAAAAGCTTCTGTTCTTCTCTTGGAAAAACTAAGAAATTAGATTTACTATTTATTACTGCTGCATAAACATTATTTTGCACTTTTTATTTTACCAACTCTATGATGCAGTTTTGCTTTTTCTCGTCCAGGAATAAAAAAAAAAAATCTCTTTTGGAGGGACGGTGCACAAAGCAGAGAGGATTTAATGATTTGGCAGCTGCAGACGAACTCGATCTCGCTTTATTCTCACCATCTCTCAAACTGAATGTTGGTGTTGGCAGCAGTACACAAAGTCCTCACTTCTTTTGTCTTAAGTAAATGTATTATTACTGCACAGTAAAAAGTCCTGCATTCAATTTGTTACCTAACAGTGAAGACTGAAAGCGAGGAAATTAAAAATGAAGCAGTTCTACTTCTGTTTATGTTAGTTTTCCTCTTAAAAAAGAACGAGTAAGAGTAGTGTATAAGTGGAGATCAATAAGCAGCCTCCCTCACTGGTCGCTGTAGGTTGTACTGTATTAATTACATCGATCCTGTGTCTTCTTTAAAGGCCATCAGCGAGCAACTGGCAGCCAAGAAAGATCAGGTGGCCGAAGCTATACGGAGCACGCAGGTCTTCCTTCTGTCCAAACAGGCGGGCAAGTAAGTTAACAACACAAACATGAGCACAAACACATTAACAGGCAACACACACATGACCCGACCTGTTCCATAGAAACCAACATACATCCCACTCAAGGGAGAGAAGAGTGTCTGGTGCCCCCCTACAGAGTTTCTAGTCAGCCTCAGAGGGAAACTACCAGCATTAAAAGGATTGAACTGAGAATGTAAACTGTGTTCTATTGACTTTGCTCCTCACGCAGCGACACGGTGTGTCCTATGAACTCTGGGAAAAAAATCCCAAAAGATCTTCATTCTGGGTTGGAGAAATTGAAGCCATCATTTAAAGTTCTGTCTTTGAGCTCACATTAACCAAGAAATTGATCATGTAGAAGTCAGCTAGTGATTTTTTCCCAACGATACATAGCTGCATGTGATATTAATACAACACTGAACATATAGAATACTTTATAATATGAAATACTTTACAAAAATGGGGAAAAAAGTTACTTTCACTGAACTTTCAGAACTGATTGCGCAAGTGTGACAAGTTAGGTTCTGGCAAAAAATAACTTTTTTTTAATGAATGAATGAATGACATGATGTGAAATAGCAGTAAAATGTTCAGACTTTTATTTTTAATATTTTCTGAGATGTCATTCAAGCAGCGCCTCAGAAAATATCAGCAATTTTTTTTTCTTTTGTCTTGAAAAGTAACTGATATTTTCGTCACACAGATACCATTTTTAAATATCCATTTTATGATTTTAAAAAAAAAGATGGTTGAGCAGAAGACCTCTGATGATTCTAGATAAATAACCCTCTACACAGTGTAGTGTTCAGCTTATTTTACAGGTTTGTTGTGCCATTGAGTAAGATTCAGTTTTTTTTCTATTTGGGGGTTAACCAACTTGAAACAATTTAAATTTTATGAAAACTTCTGTACAAAGTCTGTAAACATGCAACACACACTCCTATTAAATGCCGACAGTAACCCTGACCTGCTCTAACCTTCACCCTCCGTCCTCTCCAGGTTGTCTCCGGAGGAACGAGCTCACGTGGAGGCTCAGCTGAACGAGCTGACGGCCACCTACAACCAGCTGTGCGACAGCTCCACCCAACAGCTGCAGCAGCTGGAGCAGCAACTGGCCAAAGAAGAGGAAAGAAAGGTAGATCGGTTGAAGAGATGGGCCGAGGTGGAGGAGGGTTACTGCCGGTTTATTACAGAAATGTGCTCCGCTTATGCAAGCTTGAAGAATAATAACTGTGAAAGTACGTTTCATAAAATGTCGCTTCGAGTCCGAAAACGCTTGCGAGCTGAGCGTGAGTTCATGTGTGGGCCAGCAGGAGGTTGTGTGTGTTGTACAGCATGTTGTGTGTTCACAGAGTGTGCATTTTTGAAAAGCATCACCACTGTTCACGAATCTCACTCATTGACTTGGTTTGGTTTAACAAACATCACAGACCCTATTCAGACGTGTATTCAGATCATCTAAAATTACGTTTTCTATTTCTGGCACTATTGTGTGACCTCTTTTTTTGTCATTCAAGGAGAGGCAGTCAATGCTAGAATAAACAAACAGCCTCAGAGAAGACTTCTGTTGCCCACTTTTCAGTAAAAATGTTGTGAAGCGTGGGCACAGAAGGGTCAAAATGAATTTTTCTGGGTGACACCGTCTGAACTGGGCCTCAGCATGGAGTTATTCACTCTCACATTATTCTCCTAAAAGCCTGCAGTCATGTCATTAACTATCTCCACCCTAGTTTTTGTCATCTTCATTATCATTGCCATTATCATCAGAAAATACATCTGCTGAGCTGCTAACATGGTTAATCCATGGCCTTAGGGGTGCCGCATTAGAGCAGCGCTGCAAATGCTAGCAGGTAGATAAAAGCTGCTTTTCATAGATGCATTGTTAGAAAATCATCTTCTAAATAGATGTAGCTTCACATTTCACTGTCATCTCTGTAGCTACAAGATAGTAGAATGTTAGTTTTCTTTATATGGTGGTTAAATAATGCCACTGCATAAAGTCTACACATTTCATTTCAGCATTTATGTTATTCTGCAAAAGTTTATCCCATTTATACATTTACAGTCAACCAATTAGAATCACACATTCCTCACTTTGTCATATAGATATTATGTTTTACATCGGTCAAAAATGGTTTGAATGAATGTGAGATTTTAAGTTAATTCTTATGTTAATGTTGTTTGGTGTCAAAGGTGATTTTTATGTGACTAAAAAAACAAAATACTCAATGAAGGATAGAAGCTTGTCACTTCCCCTGTAGAGTGTAAGTGCACCGGAGGCCAGCTACGCAAAAACAAAACCCACTTCACCATTTGAGCATGTTGTGTCCAGATCACAAGATTGTGTATGTGTGTGTGTGAATGAGGATTTTATGTGTTTGTTCTAATGCATTACTATTAATGTGTGAAACTTTAAACCAGCGTTTTGCTTGAAAATCACTAACAGCTGCCAAATGGAAGAATTGCCGACATCCAAGGTGTGAGCCAAGGATCAGAATGGAAGATCAGTTTGCTGTTAGGTTAATTTTAGTGAAAATCAGAAGTTATCTCACAATATGAAGCTGTTTTAATGGTAATTCGTGGTATATTGAACGACAGTAATCTAGAATCCATCGTGATCTGAGCAGGTAAACGGCTAAAACAAACCTTCAAAGTGATGACATACGTTCGTTCAAAGTGAAGTCAGTTTTAGTGTCAGAGCAGCGTTAGGAGTCAGAATGAAGAGTGGCATGCAGAATGCTAACAACCAGCTTCTCACCTGTCGCGCCTCGCTGTACCGAGCCGTAAGCTGGCCCGTTAGTGTGTGGACGAGCCCCGACGGTAAGTAGCGCTCGCTTTCTCTTTTACCGATGCCTCTCAGTGTTTCTCATGTAGACGTTTATTTGTCCTCTTTCTTTTGAATACTTGTGTGTTCCTTTATATGCCTTTGCTTTTCTTTATCTAGAGCTTTTTCTGCACTTTCTGTTACAGTTTGCTTTCTTGCATGCTTAGTGCTTGTTTTTGAGTAATGTATTAAAATGCCTAAATTACAAAATGGAAAGAAACAATCAAGCTCCAATATGTATGTATAAACTGTGTTGGTGGCAAGTGGTTGTGGAGGTTTCTTCTTTTTCTGGTACTGTGATCTTCCCATAATACCTACATGGGTATTTAAAAAAGTTCTCGGTATCACCAGAAAACATCACTGGAGAAAGATTGTATTATTAATGTAGTCTCTTTTAACGTCAATGCGCTTGGTCCACCGATGTTTAAGTTTCATGTTCCTTTGTGGAAGGAGGTCACATCTTGAGCCTCCTCAACAGCTTGAGTGACTTTATTGTTGTCCTGAAAATGGTGATGAGAGTCAGATTTCACTTTGAGAAACAGAAGTCAGATAGTACAGGTCAGGTAAGTAACTTCTGCCTCCTCTGTGGACAAATGCATTGTTCAGAAGCAACATCAGCCACCTCAAAGACGTCCTCTCTTTTTTCTTTGATTGCTTCAGACAATTCAGTTTTTGTGGACAGTGTTTTAAGGCCTTATAGTACAAAGTTATGCTCCAAAATAGGAGTTACCCTCCTTGTTTCCAGTTGAGACCGAGAACTTTTTAAAGTACCCTCCCATAATAGTTCAGTATAATATGATAACATAGTAAGATAACCTAATACATGTTTCTCAAAGTACCAAACCAGAGTGAAAATTAATTGGAATTCTGCTTTCCCTCCTTTTGTAGAACCAAATTGCCATTGGTGGAGTGATCGACCTGGGAACAGTGGAAACATTCCCAGTGTTCCAAGCAGCCCGACGTGGTCTGATTGACCAAGACACCTGCCATGTGATGCTGGAGGCCCAGCTCATCATGGGTGGGCTCATCCAGCCAGACTCCCCTGCCAGTCTTTCATTGGAACAAGGTCTAACTCAAGGCCTCATAGACACCCACACCAGACAGTCCCTTTCTGAGCTCGAGAGTGCTTTGTGTTCGGTGGAAAACACCAAATCTGCAGGTGACCAACAACAAAATGCATTGCCTGTAGTTACAGCCATGGAGTTTGGACTCATCAGAGAGGAGGTGGGACTTCGTATTCTCGAGCTTCAGATAAACACTGGAGGCCTGAGACACTCAACTGGAAAAATGCTAAGTTTGGAGCAAGCAGAGGACATGAAACTTTTGCCTCCCAGAATCTTCACCAAGCTACAGTTTCGACTACAACACAGAGAGCTGATTGATCCAAACACAGCTGAAAAAATAAATCTGAATGAACTACAGCAGCGATGTGTCCTCGATGATGACTCTGGGCTCCTTCTCCTTCCTGTGAAACAGCAGCCTGGAGGAACTGTTTGCCTCCGTTCTGGGAGAAAAGTTGGCATCTTCCGTGCTGTCCAGGAAGGACTGATTGATCGCAAAGTTACTGTGCGGCTTCTTGAAGCTCAGCTCTTTGCCGGTGGTATTGCTGACCCTCGGTCTGGCCACCGGCTGACAATTGATGAAGCTGTTCGTCATGGGCTTATGGACCAGGATTTAGCTTGTGCCATGTTTGCACGACAACTACAAAATGGGGGAATTCTAGATCTTTCCAGTGGTGAACGTCTGGATCTAGAGGAGAGTATTCGCAGGGACCTTCTCTCCCCTCGTTTGGCTCTGTTGGTCCTCGAGTCTCTCTGGGCTTTTATGGGACTGCTGTGGCCTGAATCTGGAGAACTTCTCCCGATTGCTGAGGCTGTCCAACAAGGAGTGATCTCAGGAGATCTAGCAAGGAACATGCTAAGGCAGCGACACAATATTGGGGCTCTGTACAACCCAGAAACCCTCCAGGTGCTGCCTCTAAACCAGGCTGCCGAAGAGGCCCTTGAGCCGGATGTTGTCAGTTTTCTCAGAGACATCCACATACCAGATGTTCTTCCTAATATGAACCAGTCAGGTACCCCATCTCTGAACCGCCTGAGCTGGACTTCCACCAGCTCCTCTCCATCTCCATCCTCTCCTCTACCTTTATCAACCCCTACAGGCCTTGAGTGGGAAACTACACCGACAGATGGGGTAGATTCTGAACAACAAGCCAAACGCAAGCTGCTCTTCCACCTTATGACTCACAGCTATATGGATGCTCATTCTGGAAAACGGTTGGTGCTGCTAGACCCTGAACTGATGGTGATGGTCAAAGCTACCGACCTGGTTGCTGGAGAATCTGCATATTCAAGTCAAGTTGAGCCTCTAAGCAGTTTGGCCACAGATAAGCAGGGGAATCTGCAAATGGAGAGAAAGTTTAGTTTGACATATAATGGAAAGAGTGACAAACATATTGAAGTTGAGGAAGAGTCCAGTGTAGTTACAGAAATGAAGGATGTTGAGAGTGATAGAAGCAGTGTAGAAGAAATGTATGATGGCGAAAATGATAACAAATTGCTGCAGAAACCATCAGCAACTGTAGAAAGTGATTTAGCCTCTGTGGCTAAAGATGATATCGGTTTAGATAAAGATGCAAAAGTAAATGAACAAAAGAAAGAAAAAGTCAAACTTGAAAGTGCAGTGGTTTCAGATAAACATCTTAGCCCAAACGAGATGAAACAAACTGAATCCAAAGTCAGGGATCTTCCTGTTCAGGATACAAGAGGTACAATCCCAACAGTAGTTAGAAAAACAGGCACAGCGCCACTCAAATCAGAGGAAAATGTAGAAAGGGAGACATTGGAAGAATCCATCCAGGGAAAGAAAACACATGAAGATGTTAACTTGATACAGTCTCAAGAAAGGAAAGATGTAAAACAATCTAAGACGGAATCAGTAAAGATCAAAGAAAAGGTTCTTGTAACAGAGACTGACTCAAAGCATGCTAAACCTCAAGTTGATATCCTTGAATCAGCAGTGGAGAAGGAAGGGGAGGAAGCTGAATTGGAGAAGTTAGTTCTAGAGCTCAAACAGGGAGGTTTGATGACAGAAGAAGGAGAAAAGCTTCTGCCAGATGAGGCAGTAGCTCAGGGTGTCCTTCCAGGCCATACAGCAGTCAAACTGATGGCTCAGGCTGGTCTGTTTGGGGGTTTCCTAGATGCCAGCAGTGGAGACTCACTTAGCATGGAAGAAGTTATGCAAGAGGGCTTACTAGATGAAGATCTAATGTGGAGTGTCTTAAAAGCTGATAAAACACTTGCAGGGGTTGTGGATGTGGAGAAAAGGCAAATCTGTGGGGTGAAGGAGGCAGCTCAGGCTGGGTTGATTGACTCCGACACAGCTGCTCGACTCCTAGAAGCTCAGGTGGCATCTGGGGGGATTGTTGATCTCCGTAGGGATAAGAAAGTTTCCGTCACTCTGGCAGCAAACCTGGGACTGATTGAGGAGGATCAACGAGAAGAACTTGTGGCACTAGAGAAGGCGTACAAAGGAAAGGATACAGATCCATCAACATCCCTTAAGAAAGCCAGTTTACAGCTACAGATGGAAGGCGTTGTCGACCCAGTGTCTCAGTCTCCAGTTCCTCTGGAGCAAGCAATTCAGAAAGGGTTGATTAAGTCAGAGGAGGCTTATCAGGTGTTAACAAAGCAGGTAGCTGAAGGTGGTGTAATACACCATGCTTCAGGAATGAGGCTTCCGGTCTGTGACGCAGTAGATAGAGGACTAGTGGATCGGTCTGTTGCCACTGGACTAGAGGAGCTAGAGTGGGTCTACCAAGGAAAAGTCAGCCCTTCAAGTCACCCAGAAGCTGTTGTGCTTCAGGCATCTACAGGAGCTATTTTAGACCCAGACACTGGAGTTAAACTGACATTGACTGAGGCAGTTTCTAAAGGTCTTCTAGATGAGAACGTAGCCACTGAAGTGATGTCTTCTCCAACAGAAACACAAGGAGTGCTTGACCCCCAGACTGCACGAATTGTGCCTTATTCAGAACTTGTAAACCAGGGTAAGATAGATATTGAAACAGGTAAACGCTTCTTGGAGGTGAAACCCTTCCGTGGTGTTCAGGATGAGCAAACAAATAAAAACTTGACCCTTTCCGAGGCAGTTGCGTTAAAGAAAGTTGATCCAGTTCCAGCACTGAGACTTCTCCAAAGCCAGGCAGACAGTGGTGGCATCATTGATATCAGTTCAGGTGAAAGACTCCCTCTACCTGAAGCCTCTAGGAGAGGTTTAGTTGGAGATGATATGGTCAAAGAAATAGCTACCAACCAGTTTTTGAAAGGAGGCTTAGTTGATCCTGTCACTGGACAACGAGTCCCAAGTCTCAGTGATGCCATTGCAGTAGGACTGATACCCAGCAATGTGGCATCAGAGATTCAGGAGAAGGTGGCTTCTGTAGCAACAGAGGGTGATGATGATAGCTCTACACCTGTTGCTTCATCATCTTCATCAAATGGCACATACAGCCCTGCTATCATATTGTCAGCAACAAGCACCGACAGTCCAACAAATTGGTCTGATGTAAACACTGAGATGCCTCTTTCAAAGAGAGGTTTAGGAGTTGCACAAATCGATGAACAGAAATTGATACCTGAAGTCTCAGATCGGTCACTATTTTATGACACTGCTGCAGACGAGGACAAAGCGGAAGTACCAGAGTCAGTAGAAGAACAGTCATTTATTCAGCCAGATCAGTCCATGGATGTCTTATTTAAGTTTGCAAATAATGTTGAGAAAAGAATTCAGCAAACCATAAAAGAGATAACACCACAAAAAGACATTAATAAATCAGAGAACCTTTCCAAACAGGACTCTGATGAGAAGAGTACTGATGATGAACAGAGGGACAGCACTATCAGAGATTCTGTTGGAGAATCCATGCAGACACATATCCATCACATTGACAAAGAATTGCAGAAAGAGGTCAGAAAAGGAGTTGATGAGGAACCCGTGAAGGATGGGAAAAAGGAGCGTAGATCCACTGATGAGAGCAAAGTAATGGTCAGTCATGTTCCTGCAGATGGAAACCTGACAGGTTCTGTGGCAGCAGAGATAACAGAGGGAGAAAGCAGAGATGGCACTGAACTGTCAAAACTGAATGAAGAGGAATATAGAAAGAACGACATGGGAGCAAAGAGAGATGATGCTGTAAATGAGAAGGGTACGGGAGTGGAGAAAGAGATCAAAGATTCAGAGGTCAAAACTAGCGCTGATGTTGAGCAGTCAGACCAGTTACTGACCTCTTCATCCAAAGAGTCAGAAAACAAAAGCAAGAAAAGGAGAAAGAATAAAAAGAAGGCTAAAGGCAAAGAAGCAGAAAGCGAAACAGATCCTCCAGAGATAAAATATCCGTCTCCAACTGATAAAGTTGATGCAGAAACTGAAGGGCAGTTGGAAACTGGTAATGCAGTCACAGATAAAGCTATATCACAAGACATATATGAGAAATCACAGATTCATGGCCAGCGAGCTTCCGAAGTGGCTCCAAAGCATGACAGTGAAGCAAAGATTGATCTGAAATTTGAAGCTGAAAATGAATTGATAAGACCTGAACAGGAAGATGTTCATGCTAGTCTGGAATTTGATAAACCAGTACTTGAACCAGAGAAAGATGCAACTAAAATAAAATCATTGAACAATGCAGAAAAGTGTGATAAGAGCGAGGAGGAGGAGAAATCTGAAGTGAAGGTTTCCGTCTCTCAGCAACCAGAACAACCAGAGAGCTGTCAAGAGGGAAAGAAAAGCACAGAGCGAGAACTGCCTCAGAAATCAACTTTAGCAGATGAAGAGAAAGCAGCCTTGATACTGAAAGCCAAAGAGAGTATTCTCAAAAAGGTGTTTGAAAAGGGAGTGAGCGAGAAGCAGGCTGCTGAGGAGCTGGAGGCTCTGCGCAAAGAGGTGGGGAAGAAGGAAGGTCAAGGAAAACCTCTGCATGCTATGGTTGATGCAGTGGAGAGTCATGCGGTCAGAGATGATGGAGTGAAGAGATCAAATGGTTCACCAAAAGATAGTAAACAAGAGATGAGTGTCAACGTAGAAAAAACTGCACTGACAGAGGTCAACGATAAAACTGCAGTGGACAAACCTTTGATCGAGGAGAAAGTTGAGGCCAAACTGTTGGAGGCTTCTTCAAAGGAGATGGAAGGGAGCAAGAGTTCTGAAAAGGAAGACGTGCAAAAAGATGTTCAGAAAGTTCCATCAGTCCAACCTAAAGAAACTCAGCCAAGTAAACAAAGTAAGAAGAGCAAGAAGTCCAAGATTGCAAAACTGGCAGACAAAGTTGAGCCTAATGCTGAAAAGTTATTGACTGATAAAAAAGTAGCTTCTGAGGTAAAAGCAACAGAAATTACCGCAAAAACCACCACAGCAAAACCAGAAAGCTCAGATTTGCCGAAGGAACAGAGGACGGACAGACATTCTGATGATCAGTCAGCCATCCTGCCTTCAGTTGGCGATGAGGCTAATGAGGTGGAGGCCTCTGCAATTAATATTCAAGAAACTGAGACCACGACTGATAAAAAAGTAGAATCTGAGGTAGAAACAACAGAAATTACCACAAAATCCACTACAGCAAAGCCAGATTTAGAAATCTCAGATTTGCCTAAGGAACAGAGGACGGACAGACGTTCTGATGATCAGTCAACCAGTGACGCCATCTTGCCTTCAGTTGTTGATGAGGCTAAAGAGGTCGAAGCCTCTGCAATTAATATTCAAGGAAATGAGACCATCACTGATAAAACAGTAGATTCTGAGGTAAAAGCAACAGAAATTACCACAAAAACCACCACAGCGAAACCAGAAAGCTCAGATTTGCCGAAGGAACAGAGGACGGACAGACATTCTGATGATCAGTCAGCCAGTGACGCCATCTTGCCTTCAGTTGGCGATGAGGCTAAAGAGGTCGAGGCCTCTGCAATTAATATTCAAGGAAATGAGACCATCACTGATAAAACAGTAGATTCTGAGGTAAAAGCAACAGAAATTACCACACAATCCCCAACAGCAAAACCAGATTTCGAAACCTCAGATTTGCCTAAGGAACAGAGGACGGACAGACGTTCTGATGATCAGTCAGCCATCTTGCCTTCAGTTGGCGATGAGACCAATGAAGTGGAGGCCTCTGCAATTAATATTCAAGGAACTGAGACCATTAAACAAAGTTCACCATATTTACATGAAACTCAGAAACCCAAAGCTGTTCAGGAACAGCTACAAGTGGCAGAAGCTACATCTGTTGGGAAAGAAGAAGTCCATTTGGATACTAGAAGCGCTAGCAAAGACACTGAGGATTCTCAGGATACTGTATACAAACTGGACATCCAGCCCACAGCTAAGTCTATGATTCCCGGTCCACAGCCAGATAAATCAACTAGGAAAGCTAAAAAGAAGAAAAAGCTCCAACCTCCCGAAGTTGAAAGGACCAGTGCTCCCGAATCTTTAAAAACCCAAATGTCACACTTGGACTCTCCTGTGGCAACACCTTTGGTCCCTGATACTGCTTCATCTGAATCAGAATCACCTGGAATACCTGGGTCTGATACAGCCACCGAGAGCTGGGGAGAAGAAGAAGATAATGCCAGCAGGAGTCAAGAAACCGTGTCAAACAAAGACGACAAAACATCCACAACTGGCAAGGTAAGAAGAAATAGAACAATGTGAAAAATTATATTCATAGAGTGTTGAGCTGCACAATTATGACCAAAATTTTAACCTTAATTATTTTTGGTCAATATTGAGATCACAGATATTTATTAGGGATAAAACCTGCTCATATGCAAATCCAATGCATCCAAATGAGACTTGAAATAGAGAATCTTCTAGAGGAAGAGAAGAATAGAAATAAAAACTGCACTAACAACACCTCACTTGCTCAACATCTGCTTTTGGATACACAGCGATTTATCAGTGGTCCCTAAATGCCTCACAGGCAGGCTGTGGTAGGTGCTAGCTAAGCAACAGTACACAGAGAAGCCTCTAGTCTCCACTCAGTTATTGCATTAGGCAGTGTGGCAACTTACACAGGTGTGTAACCAACAATTACTTTAATAAGAGTGAAATAAGGCGTTATAATTTCAGATTTACCCAAGTTGAAGCCAAGTATTTACATGTACATTGGCTGTTTTGGTCGAGCAGAGTTTTCTATCAGTGGAGTACACATTAAAGGTCACGGCTGCATTTCAGCAAATTGTCTTGTTAAATAAAGTTAAAAAATAACTAAAAAGTCTTTTATATTTATGTGTGTGACCAAACATTACTTCGAAAAGACTGAAATGAGGCGTAGGAAATGTCAGATTTACCCAAGTTATAACTGAGTAACTTTATCTACATGACTGGTTTCCATTTGTTTCACACATTTTAAACACACACATCACAGATGATTGTGTTAGTTTGATTGTGGGAAGCCAAAACTGTGATCATGATGAATATACCTACAGAACTTTACATTTTCCGTATTTTCTATTTTTCTATTTCCACAGTCGTCATTATTGCGTCAGGAATGCTTGGAGCATGACCAGCGAATCGTAGCTCTGGTCTCCATGGTCAGACATGTCGAGGTTCGACTGAAACAGCAGCAGCAGCAGTCTGTCGGTCGCAGCCTCATCGCATTGGACGACATCATCAGACAAACTGAGGTGAAATATACACACTTGTCTGCTGACAGCACACATCACTGTACCTTTTTTAATGCTTGATTTGGTTTTTCTCCATTTATTTTGCCATTTCTAGTGATTCATTTGTGTCCCAGCATGACAGAAACAATACAAGCAGTTTAAGGATTAGCCACTTACGAAACAGTATCAACAAATCTTTTGTTTTATTTTTCCTAATCTGCATCTCAGGCTCTGGACCTTGAACTGCGCGACTTGGAACCGGAGATCAACAAAGAAGTCGATGCTGCTGAGCAACTGCTGAAGCCAAAACCTAAAGATGTTCCTCCACAGCTCCTATTGGCTCTGGAGAAGGACGGGCGGAGCTTGGCTCGAGGATACGAAGCCGCCAGAGCGCTTTCTGAGGGCATAATGCAAAGTCTACGAGACCACAGAGACTCTTATAAGGTAAGAGAACCAAAGAAGAACAAATGTAGGAGATACTTGGGATCAGATGTACTTTTTGGGTGCACTCAGTTTTGTTTTGTCTTCCTGCTGATGTTTGTAGGTATTGGACGAAAGCGAGGCTACTATGCTCAACAGCAAAGTTTCATCCCTCTGTTTTTCCTTTCAGGACGCAGTAACAGCTGAGCAGAAGTCACTGGGACAACAAGTGGACAGTCTGCTGTCCTGGTTGAAGGAGACGGAGGCTCAGATGGACAGAGGAATGGAAAAAATGGAGAAAGCAGACAAAGACGACAGTCATGATCAGCTCACTCAGCAGCTCAGTCTCTGCAAGGCAAGTTACCTGAACTTGAGAAAATCTTTAAAATAGTGCTTCTTTTTGACGGAACTCAAAATTGCATTATGGCACAATGTAGAAATCTGTGTCATTTTGAAAACACAGACAGGTTTAAACATTTCCAACACTATTGCTTGTTGCTATTTGAACAAGGATCATGTATAAAATATGCAGTTTTATCCTATCTTATAAAAAGTGTTGCTGTTAGGTGCATTTAAAGAGACACTGCAAACTGAAACATTTCTTGAGCTGCAAACTAAATGACACGTCTGTCCAATGATGGAACATGAAAATGGTGGAGTTTTAATGTTGACGTTTATAAGAAATTGCATTTTCTGGGTTGAATTCAAGTCAATATCCCACCTACAGTTTAAAGTAATCCTGGACCTTCCCGTCCCAATACTGACAGTAGATTGTTTTTGGCCACTCTACATCCTGAACTAAATGTGACCGAAGAGCATTAACAACAAATTAAACCTGGGCAGCTAACCTCCCACAGTACCCATCCTTAAGTGACTTCTGACTCGTTTAATGACTTTTTTCAGAAAAGCATCTCGTGATAAATCCTTTTTAGACAAACCTTTAGCTACATTCAGAAAAATGGGAAAAGAATGAGGAAAGTAGACAGCTGTACAGTAGGTATCTGCTGATCAAGTTTTTTCCTGCCCCCTATCGGAGTCATTTATCATTTAGAATCTGCTGATTCTAGATAATCCATCCATCCATTTTCTATACACCGCTTAATCCTCATTAGGGTCGCGGGGGGCTGGAGCCTATCCCAGCCAACTTAGGGCGAAGGCAGGGGACACCCTGGACAGGTCGCCAGTCCATCGCAGGGCCACACTTAGAGACAGACAACCAAGCACACTCACAGTCACACCTATGGACAATTTAGAATCACCAATTAACCTCAACATGTTTTTGGACTGTGTGGGAGGAAAGATTCTAGATAATGCCCACTTTAATTATTGCAGATCAGCTGTAGTACCTGGTTGCGCCACCATGTGGAGCCTTTTACTGTTTAAAGCTGTAGCAACCAGAAGAGGTTGTGAATCAAACTACAGGTCGTTTCGTGTTGGCAAACAGAGAGCTTTGGAGGATTTTAGGTAGTCAAGCAGCACTGTGACAAAGTCTCTGTGGTGCTTAATGACCTTTGGCCAGAGCTCATGTGTTCAACCTGGAATCATCAGGGATGGGGTTTTTATATCCCAGTGGCAAAGGCAACAGCTGCTGTTTTAAGCAATGGGCACATGCGTGTTATAACACTAGTGTTATAAATGAATGCTGCATTTATTAAGGAAATGATTCAAATTCTCAATACATGTGTGACAGCTGAAGTAAACAAAGGGTTGGCCTTGGATTTGTGCTGGTAAAGATGGCCTTGCACAAGGTTTCACAAAAGACCAAGCTTCAGAGGTTACTAGAGTCCCTGAACCTAGAATTATTATGGACACAGGAATAATACTTTCCTCTGATGCCCTTCTCTTCTCTTTCCCTGCAGGAGCTCCAGTCCTCCCTGATGGCTCGCTCCAACGAGGTCAACAACGTGGCCTTTGACATTCAGGTGTTCATCTCGGAGCGGGCCCAGGACCTGGGGCCGGAGCAGAGCAGGCAGCTCCTGGGGCAGCTCCAGCAGCTGCAGAGGTCCTTCCACAGAGCGTCGGGTCGAGCCCAGGCCTGGTCCGATGCTCTGTCTGCCCAGAGAGAGAGGGAGGGGGAGAGGCAGCGCAGGGAGAGGCTGAAGGAAGAGGAGAAGGACAGAGAGAGGCAGAGTGCCAGGGAGAGAGAGGTTTGGAAAAATGTGATTGAGATGGTTTTATTTCTACTCGCATTGCTTTCATATATAACATAGTTTACTTAAAGCTTTGTCTGTCATGCTGTTAACTGCTTTCTGACTCAATATCTCAGCACTCATGTTCTATTATATTGTCAAACCAGAGAATCTTGATGTAAACCAGCTAACCTCCACCACAGTATGAACCTTTAGCACCATTATACATCATCTCAGACTTGTTCTCTTAGTTTCATACTTTGATATCAACCCACTGCTGCTGTTGTTGCAAAGCTTCGCCACTTGACACGGACAGTATCACCACCTTCACTCTTACTACACAGGCTCTTTATGCTCCTCTGCATGTCTCTGTAACATGTGTTTTATTAACCAGTTTGCCTTGCTGTTCCAGATTGCCACTGAAGAAAATCGCTTGTGTCACGGCGGTAAAGAATACAGATCTGATAGCAGAAAAGCCTTGCTGGCTACAGTGCTTCGCTGTTTTTCCTCTTGTCTCACCTGAATTGCACAGGAGAAAGAGGAAAAACAGCAAATAAACAGATGTTTGTTTGATTTCTCTTTGTGTCGTTTGTTGTTGCTCGACCAACGTTTTGATATAAATGTTCTATATGTGTGTGTGTCTGCTTGTGTGTGTGTGTGTGAACTCTGGACACAATCTGCTCAAAGCTTGGCAAAGTGTTGCACTACACAAGAACTATGTTTAGGGGCAAATGTGCATTCAATGTGCTCTTGTGTGAAGAAAAGCGGTGAACAAAAATCACAAATGGTCTGTTCCTTAACTGTTTATGATGGACTCTTCCGTATTCATTCATGTCAGTATCAGTTTTTCTCACATTTTCTTTCTTTGTGGGTCTTTGCTCCTTTGCCTTCCTTCTCTCCTCCATTTCTCTCAGGTGGTTCAGCAGCAGAAAGCCGAGTGTTCTCAGAAACTAGAAGGCCTCAGCATGTGGTTGGCTGGAGCAGCCAGTCTGCTGGCCAATCAGAGAGGGGGAGCAGAGTCAGGTGATGTGGACATCCTGCAGGAGAAGCAGAAAAAACTAAAGGTATGAAAACACAGTACAAAAGGCTCACTTCATTGTCATTCTGCTTGTGATATCTTTAAACTTGCTCAATTCGATGTGATAGTGTATAGGAACTGCTTATATTTTATTGAACTTGTGCACAAAAACAAACCCTTTTTCATCTTCACGAGTCATTTTTCCACATAATTGTCCTTCAAGTTTGAAGCAAAAAAAATGCAAAGAAGAAAGAAAACGTAAATTAGGCTTGTTTAGAGCAAATAAACTCGGCTGTTGTCAGAAATAAACAGAGTAGAAGAAAAACGGAAACAGCTGATCAGTCATGTGAGATAAATGTTTGCTTTATTGGAACTTATTACAAAAATGTGTTTAAATCTGTCACAAAGCTCATGAACTCTTTCGAAAAAAGTAAAAATTCAGCTAAAGCGAGTGGAAAAAGTGAGCGCTAGTTTTGCTCTGTCCATTAGCTTTTTCTACTCTAACAATACTTCAAAATAAAAAACGTGGCTACTGTTAAACCAATCAAGACTTTGGGGTATTAAATGGATGAAGATGTTTTTTTTTTACATTTTTGATCCTGTCTCCAGGAAGTACAGAAGGACCTCCGGACTAAAGGTGAGGGCGTAGCTGAGGCCATCCGGTCCGTGGAAGAGTTTCTGGCGGAGCGAGGAGAAAGTCTGAGCCCAGCGGAGAGGGAGAACCTGCAGGGGGCGCTAGCAAAAATGAAGGAGCAGTACAGTGCACTGACAGATTCAGCAAACACGTCGCTGTCGGAGCTCGACACCGCCATCAACACAACTGTGCAGCAGAACACACAAAGGGTAGGAGGACAAACGTGGTTAAACATATATACGATGAAATAAATCTTTACTAATACCACAGTGGAGACACTTACAGTGTTTCAGCAGCAAAAGTATAAGTGTGTCGGGAACAGTAGTAGAAAAATAGAAATAAACAAGAAATATAAAGTACTGTTGATACTGTACAGATTCTTCCTTATATGGAAATTTAGATTTAATTTAGTCATCCAGTTTTATCTCCACCATTGTTGTCTGTTTATGTAAATATATGTTTTTCACGTTGCAGACAGTGTTACGTGTTTTCTTTTTGCAGACGATAGAGACTAAAAGCCAAATAAAATGAAACTACACTTTGAGTTTTTGTTGTCTACTTGCTGCCTCTGTATGATTGAGCCCGGTCTGCTTGCTCTCTCCTCTCTGACTCTACTCCTTTCTTCTTCTCTCCAGGCGAAGGCAGTGGAGGAGCTGCAGGAGACCCAAAGCCAGATCGGCTCTCTGCTGAACGAGCTGTCTTCCCTGAACCAACCAGCCAGGAGAGGAGACGGATCTGGAGCAGGACAAGACGTTGTTGATGCTCCGTTTTCACAGCCAGAGGGCGCTGTAGTGTCACATACTGGAATGTTGCAGGTTGGTATAGCCCATTTTGACTTAAACATCTTACAGCAGGACCACGTTATAACTTCTGACCTCTGACCTGTGTCTAACAGGCGGAGCTCCAGCAGCTGCAGGCTCAGCAGGCTCAGCTGCTGCAGATCTCCCAGTCCACCCGCTCCCTGTTGGACCAGCCGGACTCGGCAGTTCCTCCAGAGGAGAAGCAGCGACTCCAAGCTTCCCTGGACCAGCTGCAGGCTCAGCACCAGGACAGGCTGCAGAGCTGCCAGGTACTGAGTGCATGTTAAGGCTGCAGTGCAGTGACCAAACTACCTGAAGTGTTCGTTGGAAGAATGTCTGTCAATTTCAGCTTAATATTTACATTGCACATTTGAAAAGCAGAAGTTGAACCAAAGTGCTTTCCAATAGGGAATTTAGAGAACAGAGACTTTACATGACAAGTTTAGATATAAAGGTCTGTAACCCTGTCATATATTCATATATGTGCCTGATTATTTAAATATTAAAGTTAAAATCCTATAATAGTGTTTCTTGTGCAAATGTACCTGATTTTAATATGAAGTGCTGAGATCTAGCAATATTATATATTATATAAATTTACTTGAATAATTTAAGTATAAAGGTTCAGACCCTCCAACAGTATTTATGATATAAATTTACCAGACTAATGTAAATATAAAGATGAAAACTCATTAATGGTATGTATCATGAGACTGTACCTAATTAATTTAGATATAAAGGTAAAGGCCACACAATATTATTAAAATTAACTAATTGACTAATTTAAATATTATGGGTACAATTCTACAATATTAGTTACTATGCAAATATGCTGAGTAATTTAAATAATAAGTATAAAGTCCCATCAGTGATATAATTTATACAAATGTACTTGACTACCTTCAGTTTTATGGTAAACCTCACAGAATTGTATATAATACAAATTTACCTGAATAATTTAAAGATTGAGTTTAAGACTCAACAATAATATATAAATTAACTGGAATAATTTAAATATTATGGTTCACATTCTACTATGTTCTCTATTATGCTAATTATCCAAAATATTTAAATATTAAGTATTAAGACCCAACAATATTATATATTATAAAGATGTACCTGAATACTTTAAATATAAGGATTAACATTATTATATACCCTAGCAAATTACCTTATTAATTTATAAAATAAATCCTCCAAAATTAAACAGAAAAACACCCAAAAATCTACTTTTACTTAATATTTATGGTGTCACATGTATAAAGTTGGCTCAGAAACAAGGTAAAAAAAAAACAGCTTCTCTGTATTAGTCTTGCAGATAAATAGGCCCTTTGTATTTAATCATCTGTCTGCCTGATATTTCTACTGATCTGATAACTAACTGCTCTGTTCCTTGTAGGACCGTCTGAGGAAGTCTGAGGCTCTGAAGGACGAACTGACAAAGTTCCTGCAGGAACATGGAAGTCTGGGCACCTGGCTGGAACAAAGCGAGCAGGAGCTGCGTTCTCTGGGGGAAGGAGAAACTGATGCACAGGGACTGAAGGGCCGGCTGGAGGAGCACAGAAAGGTGCAGAACATACACGTGTTCATAACAGACATTTATGGCCGTGAACTTACTCAGAAAACGACAAACTTTCAGCTTGATTCAAACATTTGCGTTGAATCTGCGCTGCAGCCTGACACGTAGCCGATTGTTCATAATAAAAAGGCAAGAACAAATATTTATTGCTCCAACTATAGACTCAACTAATAAATTCTTACATCTTCACTAGCTTATGCATTCCAGTAATTTCAGTAAAACTATTTTCCATCATTTATTAGCTCCATCTACTCAGTCACCATAGTTTTAAATACACAGAAAACTCCCCACAGTAGCAGAGAAACACAACTTCTGACTAGTGCTGTGATACAGACACACACGATGTAAAGTCTGTCGAGTCAACTCAGGAGCATAAATCAGCTTTACTGTGTATGTTTGGAATCATTCCCACTTAACAGGCTGCAGATTCTCCCTCAGAAGAAGCTGCTCAGTCATGTCCGTCCAGCTTTACACATAAAACTGTGATAGTGATCAAATATCGAATCAGGAGCTGCAGATAAAGACATGCCGATGTCGCCATGAGGCAACGGAATTGAAAGCAGATGCACACCGTTAAAATCTTGCCTCCCTCTCCAAAGAAGCCAGAAGTACGCTGCTGGAAAAGTGTGAATTCTGCACTGCTTCTCATTACAGTGCGTGAAATTGTCCAGACAACATAACTCTTATTAATTTGAAGGTTGCAGGTCTGGAGCTGCTGGCCCTGCGCCTCCACGCTTCGATTAAACCGGCCGAGCCTGCTTTGAAGCGCAGTAAATGGGCTGAGAAATATCACTCACTGCATCTGGACCCAAATTAAAAGCACATACGGCCCAACCGTGTTTTTTTCCACCGTTAATTATCCGTGGGAGAAGAGTTTCCGAGCTCAGTTCCATCCATCCATATGCCTCGACAGGGCCTCACAATCACACTTTCTCATCTGAGAAACTCCACTTCAGGATAATTATCTTGTTGAGAGTCCCCTGACATCACATTCACAGTGTTTTATGTGCTTTCTTTGCGCATTTTTTCCCACCCAAGTCCAGGAATTTGAACCGTCGACCCACTGATCTCGGTCATGCTTTCCATTTACATTCAGAACTCTTTGTGGTTAAAACACGTTTTCCATCAGACACACATGCAGCATCTGTGTGACTGAACTGACCTGTGAGTGTTTCTGTGTTTCCAGCTTGCTGAGGATGTCATTTGCCACAAAGCCGACCTGCGATTCGTCTCCATCTCCGGTCAGAAGGTTCTGGACTCGGTTCAAGGAGCTCAGGAGCAGGCAGGTAGTTCAGATCCGGCTCTGGACGGCACCAAGCAGCTGGTAACTGACAAGCTGCAGGACGCGAACCACAGATACACAACACTACACACCAAGGTGAAGAAATATAGTCGGTGCATCAGTTTTTCACTTCTTTCTTCAACCTGTATATTTCTAAAACTGATTTCTGTGCTGTGTGCAGTCGACAGAGCTGGGCGGCCGTCTGTCCGGCCTGTTGGAGCGATACCAGCAGTACCAGGACGAGGTCGTCTCCCTCCACTCGTGGCTCAGCACTCAGGAACAGAACCAAAGCATCGCCAAGCCTAGTGGGGAGACGGACCCACAGAACCTGCAGAACACACTACGACAAGTACAGGTGAAGCTCACAGTGACAGACATTTACAAAACTGAAAGTGAAGGAGCAGAGTTGAGCTTCAGAGACTCAACAACACTGTAATCTGGTTTAATTTACAGTCATCAGTTTAAAATCAGTCATGTTAGGACGTTCTGAAAAAAGGGTGGAGTATTTAGGTGGATTATGGGAAACATGAATCATGTGTCAGCGATGGAAATGATTGAATTGTGTCGTCTGTCTGTAGCTGCTTCAGGACGAGCTGGCCGAGCGCTCGGTGCAGCTGGAGAAGGTGAAGAGGGCAGGAAGAGACCTGGTCAGCACAGACGAGTCTCCCTCTCTGAAAGCTGTTGACATCCTCTGTGCTGCAGGTAACTTCATCTGGTCGTTAGTTTTCATCACTGAACCTACATAGGAGCTCTATGTTCTGCATTTAGTCTCAGTTTATGACAGCAATCACTCACTATTTGTTCCTTCCTCTGTTCAGACGGTTTAGAGAAGAGATTCGGCTCGTTGTCTACGTCCGTCTCAGAACGGGCCGAGCAGCTGCAGACAGCTGTAGCCCAGTCGGTCAGCGTCCAGGAGGGTCTGAAGGGGCTGCTGAGCTGGCTGGACAAACTGGTTCTGAACCCCGGACCAGTTGAGCCCACTGCACAGGCTGTACAAGACGCTCTGACCCAGAACCAGGTAGGATTCTAACCACAATAACCCTGCAAGGTTTCCTTAAATACTACAAAACATCTCTGAGAATTTATTGTAAAAAAACAAGTCCAAGCCTGAATGTGGAAAACAATTTGTAATGTAAAAATGTCTTGAGCTTATTTTCAACCAACATGTTCAGCCTTGAAGATGGATTTTTAGCTACAGTGTTCCACCAGCAGGTCTTCTTAGCTAATTGAATCATTGCATATCTTTGATTGTCACATCTATGAATCATTATGTTGCAGATTGCAGTCCACGTCTCGTTTTTTTAACCCAGCGTCTCCTCTTCCTCCTCCAGAAACTTCGACAGGAGCTGCTGTCCAGGCAGGGCAGCGTGGAGGCAACACGAGACTCCATTTCCAAACTCCTTCAGAGCTCCGACGCCTCCACAGCTTCAGGCCTGCAGGGCAGCTTAGATGAACTGACTCAGCGCTACACTGCAGCTCAGGCCAGCCAGGCTGAGAGGGAGGCCGAGCTCAAAGGGCTGCTGCCCAGGCTGGAGAACTACGAGAGGCTGGGCACCGACCTCCAGGTGTTTACCCAGAGCCGACTGAAGGCCCTGAGCCCTGTGGGACAACCGGACCGCAGCGTGGACGACTACAGGCAGACTGTCGAGGTTAGCAGACGGATCATAGTGTCATCGATAGGTCATCTGCAGCATGTAAAGAGGTTTGGTCACGCTGTCAGTCTGTCCAACATTATTATCTGTGCTTCTTTTCTCAGGAGGTCAGATCTGAGCTGGAGCAGGAGGCTGGTCAGCTGAAGTCCTTCTGCAACATCGGCACTGAGCTCAGCCAATCAAAAGCCTTCAGCAACACTCAAAGCTTATTGGACAAAGTCAAAGGGGTGACGGATGAGTTCACCCAGCTGGAAGAAAATGTCAACGAAAGGTAAAAACGTCAACAGATAACATGTGAAACGTACCTTTTTAGAACATGCAAACATGAATGTGAAGCCTCAACTATCAGTGTTAAATGCTGTTACTGATTTTATTAACATTAACTAATATCTGTGTTTGTGTCTATCTAGATACAGACACTTAGATATACAATGCACATGAACACCATCTCCTCATGTTCGTCACTCTGTGAGCCAAGTCTGTTTTCTTTAGAGAATCTGTGAAGGGGCAGATTTACAGATTTAAGACTAATTTCTTCTGTAAGAAGTACATTAAGAAAAAAAGAAAAAAACCCAAAAAGGTTAGACGTAAAAATAGGAGTAAAGGACATGATTTTCTTTGAAACAATTATGTTCTGCTTGTTAGTCATTTTCTCTGTGCTTTAGTGTGTTATAAAGATGTTTTTTTTGCGTATAGAACCAATGGAGAGTTATTCTCTTCTTCAGAAAACACTTCCCGAAACACCTCATGTAACACTTTTCTTCCATTACGTATCTGTATCACCATGTAACACATTTGCATAACGCCTGTCTGGCAGCTATTTTGACACTCAAAGAAGAAGCAGCTTCTGACATTATTTCCTCACCAGAGGTGCTTCTGCTAGAGCTACATCCTTTTACTGATAGATCTGGGGCTGTGATATGAAACCAAGGTTGCCACGCTTTTGTCAGGCCAGCTAAGAATTTAGAGCAAGCTGGGCTTTTGGGGTTGGAGGCCTTAAAGAGACATGAGCGGAAACAGAGCAGGATGCAGCAATGTCCAGTATGAAGAGAGTAATGTTTGTTCTAACATCAGAGCATTCTAGTTGACCCCAAAAATAAAATGATGAGTTCACTATAAAATACACAAGGGGGCACCAGATAGTCTGTCAGTAATCTGTTGACTCTTCAGTTCGTATTTAGTCCCAGTTGTTCAGATCTACCAGGAGTCAACTGTCTTTTGACCTGAATCAAATCAGAATATCTTGGAGACTCAGAGCCGTTTCCAAAAGATGAGTTGTGATTACATGCAGATACGCCGTGAAACTTCATTGTGGCCGGCTGTGTGGAACATACTATACCTCAGGCATTTCCAAAATTTGTTTTCTAAATCTGTAACCTTCATGAAGCACCGGTTGCTATGCCGACACCGTTTGACGTGGTATCAGTGAGCAGCCACACTTGAAGCCTGTCAGCGGGTGGCTGGGAATTTATAAATACCATCAGTCTGGTGCAGATTTATTGGATTATATTTGTGAGCCGCTCGTGGAAAATCAGCCATCAAATGATGACCAGTGGATATTTTTTATTGCAATTTATTAGTTAAATACAAATATATAATATGAAACGTAGATGTCAGTAAGTGGCAGTCTGAGTGACAGCGTGGGTCAGAGCACTATTAGAGCATTCTGTGCATGATAAAGAGGATCATTTACTCTGTTGCATGATTTTACTGTACAGAATACACATGGGAGCTGTTGAGTAAGCCTGAGCACTAATATAAGCAGAGTTCATATGGCTCATTGTCCGTCCTATAAACTGCCCTCTCAGATAACTCCCAGGCTCGAATCCCGAGGGAGAGAAAATAGCAGCATGATAATGATACTGCCCCATGCCAGACGACTTCTCCGAGCTGTTTTGTCTGCAGGCAGTCAGCACTTTTCCAGCCGGAGCTCGAGACAGATCACGTACAAAGAGAGTGAGGTCAAGGCTGTGTTAATGCTGCCTGCAGGCCAGCGTGGACCTTGAATGCTTCATGTCAACAGTGCTTTGTGCATTCTTTTTTTAGAGAATATAGTCTGAATGCATTCAGAGGAGATCATACGATTGCGGTGTTTGGAACTGACAACCTAAAAATGTGGTTTTAAGCAGAGTTTTCTCTTCTCTCTCTTTTCTTCTCCTCCTTCACACAACTCCTCCTCATCCTCCCTCCCTCCCCTTGATGTTCTTCGTATCATCCTCTTCCTCCCCCTCACACAGGTTTGCTGCCATTCAGGCCTGTGAGCAGCAGCTGCTGCAGTTCCGCGGCCTCTCTGGCTCCCTCGCCAGGTGGCTTCAGACTGCACAGGACCAGCTGCCCTCCAAGGAGGCCAACCTCAACACTGAGGGCCTGCAGAGAAGAGTGCAGCAGCTCAAGGTGTGTGTCTGATGATTAATAAACAAGTAACAGGGAATATAAAAAGTAATCACCTCCTTGGAAGTTTTCCCTTTTTATTGCTTTCCAACTTTGAATCATGGTCAATTAAATTTGGCTTTTTTGACAAGTATTTACAAAAACTGACTCTTTCATTTGAAAGTAAAACCAGATTTCTACAAAGTAATGTCAATTAATTAAAAACAAGTATTCACCCCCTTAAAAGTGGCTCACCTAATTTAACACAGGTGCAGCCAGTTGGTGCTGGAAGTCACAAAATTCATGAAAGGGAGATCATCTGAGTGCAATGAGTGTGTTTCAGTGATTATAGTATAAAAACTCCTGTGTCTGGGAGGTCCAGCCACTGGTGGATCAGTACTCCTGGATAGAACTACACCATGAAGATAAAGCAACACTCCAAGCAGCTCTGTAAAAGGTTATTGAAAAGCATAAGTCAGGGGATGGGTACAATAAAATTCCCAAGTCATTGACTGTCACGACGAGTAAGGGAGGCCACCAAGACACCCATGACTCCTCTAGAGGAGTTACAAGCTTCCGCAGCTGAGATGGAAAACACTGTGCATATAGCAACTGTTGTCTGTTCTTTACTACTCAAATCTTTATGGGAGAGTGACAAAGAGAATCAATCATAAAAATAAATCCAGACTAGAGTTCATTAGAGGACATGTGGGAGACTCTGAAGTCAACTGGAGGAAGATTCTTTGGTTTGATGAAACAAAAATAAACTTTTTTTGCCATCAGACTAGATGCGATGTTTGGCAGACACCAAAAGCTTTCTGCCACCACCATCCCTTCTGTGAAGCATGGTGGTGGCACCATCAGTTTGTGGGGATTTACAGGCCATAAAAAAAAGCTTGTAAAGGTATAAAGGTAAAACAAATGTAGGAAAGTGTAGAGAAAACCTGGAGGAGAGCCTGATGCAGTCTGCAAGAGAAATGCAACTTGGGGAAGATTTGTTTTCCAGCAAATTAATGAGCCGAAGCAAACATCCAAAACTACAAAAACATGTTTCAAGACAACAAGGTGAATGTTCTTGACTGGCTGAGTCAGAGCCCGGACTTCAGTCCAGCTGAGAATTTGTGGCTGAACTTGAAAAGGGCTGTTCACTCACGATCCATGTGTTCACTGAGTTTAAGCAGCTATACAAAGATGAATGAGATGAAAGCGTCCAGATGTTCAGACCAACACAGGGTCAATGCTGTAACTGCATCTGCAAAATACTTACTTATAGGCAGTAAACATTTATTTTAGGCTTTCAATTGTTGAAATAATTGACCTTCCTTTTTAGAAATCCAAGTTCTCTTTGACACAAAAGAATCTATTTTTTGTAAATTCTTGTCCAAAAAGCCAAAATATTTTGACCATGATTCAGTGCTGAAAAGCAGTAACATGGAAAAGCACGAAGGAGACCTTTAGTTAGGCACTGTATGAAAATGAAAAGCAGATAATTAGGGATACTTGAAACCAGCGACTGTACCAAGTTTTGTCAACGCTCAGTGACTCAGTAAAATGCTTTGTGACTTCAGGACTTGTTGAACGACTGGGAGTCGCAGGGATCCAGAGTTCAAGAGTTGAACAAGTCGGGCTCTGAGCTGGAGTCCCTCATCATCGACATCACCGCCCCTCAGACCAAAACCGGTAAGAACAAGGAGTGATGGAGAGACTGCCGAGCAAAATCATTCTCCCACTCTCACTCAGTTTAAATGAGTTATTTTCCACATGAGAGCATTTAGGTGAGATTTACAGACGGTGGAGGTGGGAGGAAAAAAAGTCACTGAGGGATTTTTAAAAATTATTTGACCTGAGAGAAAGTCAGAGATGAAAAACAAATTGTGAATAAAGAGAAGCAGGAAGGAGACAACAACGCAGTGTATTTGCATTTCTAATCGGTTCTGTCATGGTGATTTACTGTGATACGGTTAAGCTGTGAAGGCAGATTTAAATAATCGAAGAATATGGAAGAGCTACAAACGTCTTAAACACTTCACATGCAGGCTTTGAAACTGTACAGGGATTTTAAAAAGAGAGAAACTTTACCATGTAATGTAGTCAGATGCAACAAAATCCCATTTTAGTGTCACAAATTACAAGTAAAATTTTGCTGAAACTGAAGAAGTACACTATAAATTTCCTGTTTTTATGTAAAGATTGTTTGTATCCTCCATGTTTCCCTCACTGGTGTCAGTTTCAACGGCTTTTGTGTCGTGTGCTGAAATGTTTGTGTGTCAGCGGGTTGAGCGACTGTCAGAATTTAACACATGTTCGTATTTTTTTTTTACCTTGCTGATTCATCGCCCTGTTTGGTTTGTGCGACGGTGATTGCATGAATGTGTCGTACTCAGTCGGCTGTGTGTCTCTCTCCCAGGTGCTCCTCAAATCAATGGCTCAGCAGGTCCCAGCAGTGTCAATGGCATTCACACCTGTAAAGGTGAGCTCTCCCTCCAGCTCTGCTCTGTCTTTCTCTGTGCTTCTTATCTGATCCCTCTTTAGCAACGCTTTTCACTCATCTTTTTGTATGAAAGGTTGACATTACTGCATCATTTATATTAGAAAAGGATTACAGCGCTGAATTTTTACCAGCATTTATGGTCTACAGGTTGGCAGTATTAGGAACAAATGTGTCAGACTCCACACAGTTAATTGATTGTCTATAATTAACTTCCATCACTTCAACAGACAGCAACAGCGTTCTCTGTTTTACTGTTTTCTGTATCATCCTGTCAGCTCTCTGTCCATGCAAAACATCTGTCAGATTGGCGCTTTTGTTAGTTTGGAAAAATATGGTTACTCGTTTCATCTGTGCTGCCTTGTTTTACTCTCGTAACAGCTTCTGTTTTCTGCACAGTTGTTGTTCTCATTAGCCTGCTCTCCTGCTAGGTACTAGTTTCACTGTGTCTGCTTTATGAGACGTGATCAAAAAGTTCTGAGACTGTGTCTGTTAAAGTAAAAATCCATACCTGTTTAAACCAGCAGCCGTCCCTGTTGAAGTAGCCTCCTTGTGCCGCGATGCAGCACTTCTGTGACGCTCTCTGGAAGTCAAGCACCATCTGCGATGAGCCTCTTAAACTGTGTCAAAACAGTGATCCTTCAACTTGAATTTCATTTTGGGTCACACAGAGCAAAATCTAGCAAGTAGGGCGAGTGAAGAGCAACGACTGCGTCCTTGTGGCCAAAAAAACACATTTTGTTTCTGTGCGCACAGTTGGAGCATCTTCATTTCATCACAACACAATTTAAGTTGGTTACACTAAATGTCCATCAAATCTGGCAGATAAATTCACGGTGCACAACCATGTGAGAAAACAGGGGCGTGATTCTGGCCTGACCTGATGTACCTGCTCTGATTTTGGAGCTTTTCCACTTTCTTCTCTTGGTGCAGACCCTTCTCTGGTCACCAGCCATCACACGAATGTGATGTTTGAGCTCCATGGAGAAATCACAAACGTGCACTGATCTCCTGATTCATGACAGTCGTTGCTCGCATGTGTTCTTTCCATGCACACCACAGACAGTCCCAGAACTTTTCGATTGCAGCATGTACCAACATTTTTCATCTTGTAGCGAAAGTTTGCTAATATGCTGAGCAATTTTCTGTCTTTTCTGTTCCCTCAGACCTGACAGAGCTCCAGGTAGCGGTGTCTGACGTGAACGGTCGATACGACTCTCTGGGCGGAGAGTTAAAGGAGCGTCTCGGTCGGCAGCAGGCCTCACTGGAGCTCCGGCAGAAGGCCAGGCAGGGCGCTGAGGAGCTCAAGACCTGGCTGACCGACAGAGAACAAAGCCTGAAGCAGGGGCAGACGGCCTCCCCTTCCAAACCCGAGGCTGTGCGCGCTCAGGCCCAAGAGAACAAGGTAAAGGACTCGGTCTATTGATCCTCTATGGGCCGTGACTATTTTTTTTAGCTGAATGCACAGTAAGATCATCTGCTGTGTGTTCTGACTTGCTCCTAAAACTGAAAAAAGTGCTTTTTTTTTAGCTTGTGTTATTGAACAGCTGCCATGTTTTAAAGCTGCTGCTTGTCTAGAAGTAAGTAAGTCGTGTCAGTAACACCTTTACTTTCATTTTCTCCAGGCCTTGCTGTCGGAGCTGTCTGAACACTCCGGGAAGGTGGAAGAGCTGAAGAGCACACTGAGGAAACTGATTGCAGACAACCCTGATTCTCCAGAAGCAGACAGCTGGAGACAACAGCTGCAGGAGATAGGTATGAGCTGCAGGAGACTACAAGGGTTTGAAAGGAAAATATTAAAGATGACAAGGCCTTGTTCAGACCAGGGGAAAAGTGTCGGTGAATGGCAGGATCAGTACAGTATTTTGTAGTCGTGCAGAGCACCATTATGAAGAAAGTATATTGTGTCAGAGCCTGAGGCAACAGCAGATGCATGTTAGCGATACAGAGAAAGAGCACTGCCTGAGGGAGTCCATTTAGAGAAATGGGATTCCTCACAGCAGTTTTCTTATGTCTGGTTTGGTAAATTTGAGATACTAAGTGAGTAAGAGAAGAATAAAAATGTGTAGTACTACAGAGGTAGACTCTGCTGGAAAAGTTTAGGTGCAAAAATGTCTTTAAAGGGGCTTAAAACCAGGAGATCTTTCTTCACTGTGCTGGAAACGGCTTAAAAGGAAGCAGAGCCTCAGAATTTGTAGTAATTTTTCTGAGAGATGGCAGATCAATAGTATCCAGGGAGCGAGTGGGAAGTGTTCCTGTCAGAGCTATTTGTTCGCTCGCTCACTTGATATTTTTACCAGGGCCTCCTATGAGCTAACTGAGGCAGAAATATTTAAGGTGAAATCCGAGATGGGGCCTTTATATTTCATATTTCATAATGTCTTTTCAAAGCCATGTGTGACTGAGTTTGTACACACACACACACACACACACACACACACACACACACAGAGACTGCTGGAAGCCAAAAGAAATGAAGGAACAAACAGACGAAGCTGAAGAAGAAGTGGAAGAAAAATAGTTTCCTTTGTTCTCTTAGTGTTCGTGAAGAAAATTGGTTTCTGCTGTGTCACTGATATAATTTGACTTTAATGTTGTGCAACTTAGTAAGAAAAATAATGTTCCCAAAGAAGGAAGCCAGCTAGAAAACCTCACAAATAAAACACACAAACTGAATATACTGTAGGGCTGTTGTCCCATGTCCACTGGTTGGTTGATTTGCTGTAATATTTACTCAGAGTCAACTCCAAGCTAACTGACACCATGTCAAAGAAGTCTGGTCTGCTCAAAGTTTGTTGTTATCTCAGTAAAAAATAATCAGGTTAGAATGATGATTTTTATGTTTATTTATTCATCATTTTAGCTAGTTGGGCTATCAGGGAGAGAACATTTAAAGATAAGGTGCAGATTTATACCCTCGTGACAAATCTATTGTCGGCACGATTTCAGTCGACCAAGATTTTAAGATTATTCTGTAAATCAACCTTTCATTTTGTTTTTCAGTGAGGACCATACACACACATTTGTCAGCATTTTGTCATTTTTGTGTTCTGTTTTTTCCCTTTTTCCTCGACTGCTTCTTCAGACTCCCGCTGGCAAACAGCCAATCAGACGGCAGCTCAGAGACAGACTGAGCTGGAGACGTGTGCTGATAGGCTGGGAAGCTTTGCCTCAGCGGCCAATCAGCTGGGCCCATGGCTCAGGGAGAAGGAGCTGATGATGAGCGTGTTGGGACCTCTGAGCATCGACCCCAACATGCTCAACACACAGAAACAACAAGTACAGGTGTGTGGCACAAACCGATAATAATCACAAAGACACTGTCAGCAATGACAATTCATTTACATTTTCTTCAAGTTTTTGTTTGTTTTAAACACACACACACAGATTTGTGTTTGTTTTATTTTTTTAATGATCATTATCTTCTTACGTGTTTCTATTAGTTCATGCTGCGTGAGTTTGAGACCCGGCGGCCCCAGTTCGACCAGCTCACCCAGTCTGCTGAGGGCATCCTCTCCCAGACCGGCGACTCTGCTCAGGATCCCAAGGACCTGGCGGAGGTGCGAACTGAACTGGGCTCCATCTCCCAGCAGTGGGAGGATCTGACACAGAAACTGACTCAGAGGTCAAACCACATCGATCAGGCCCAAGGAACCAGCGAGCGCTACCAGGTAAGATTAGTCTACACAGAATAATGTTTAATCTCTCTGCTGCTGTGACACTAATCTTCCTCCTCTCCTGCTCAGGCTTTGCTCAGAGAACTCTCCTCCAGTGCTTCTGCTCTGAGCGAAAGGTTAGATGCTCAGGCCTCGCTGAGCGCTCAGCCCGAGGCGCTGAAACGTCGCCTGCAGGAAACCGGAGAGATCCGCTCGGAGCTGGAGAGGAGGCGGACTGAGCTCTCCGAGGCCGAGAGGCTCTGCCAGGAGCTGAGCACCATCGTGGCCGAACCCTACCTGAAGGAGGAGCTGAACAAACGACTGGAGAGCGTCAGCGGGCCGCTCAGGAGTTTGGAGGAACGTGCAGGTTTGTGCAATTCATCTGGCTGACTTAGTAACTGGACTGAAACTGAATATGGAAATAAAAAATTACATGTTTTTTCCAAGTTTTGTCACTAAGTATATATTTTGGTGTTTTTGTGAGCTGCTTCTTTATTTGCTTTTAGTGGTTTTCTGTGCAGAATATTTTTGTTAATGAATTCATTAGTGAAGCTTTTGTAGTTGTTCAGCACTATCCCCTTTCAAAGTTAATCCTTCCAAATCCATTATGGAAAAACTGTTTTGATTACAAGAAAATGCTACTAACAAATCCACTGAAATAAATCCACCAAAACCTCCTCAAGCCCAGTTTGTCCTTTTTGTTTGAAATAGTTTTTCACTGTTTATGTTCATAATCCCTTCTGCTCTGCTTTTCTCTGCTGTAGCTGATGGCCTGTCTCAGCTGCAGGCCGCCCTGTCGTCCACCCAGCAGTTCCAGCAGATGTTTGAGGAGTTGCGCTCTTGGCTTGACAGGCAGGCGGATCCCAGAGAATCATCCAGCGTCTCCCTGCCCTGTCGGCCGGAGGCGATCCGCTCGCTGCTGGCGCAGACAGATGAGCTCCAGCGTGGGATTGCCAGCCAGCGAGGTTCCTACGAGCTGATCCAGGCGGAAGGAGCATCGCTGCTCGCTGCTCTGCCGGCAGGCGGAGACGAGCGCTCGGCCCTGCAGTCCCGCCTGGCCTCCCTGCGACAGGACTGGGAGGGGCTGAACCACCGGATCTCAGACCGAGAGGCCAGACTGAAGACCACACTGAGCAAAGCTGAAACTTACCAGCAGCACAAGGCCGAGCTGACGCCGTGGTTGGCAGATTGTGAGGAGAAAGATGGAGAGATCCAGCCGTCCTTGGATTCATCTGCTCTGGATGAAGCCCTGCAGAAAGCCAGAGGTTTGTCCCTGGACTTGGAGAGACGACAGCCTCTACTTGAGGCTTTTAACACTTCAGCTGATCAGCTGCTGGAGCAGTGCTGCATCGGGGAGGAGGAGGTGAGATATTCAGACAGATCCATCTGCTTGACTGAGTCGATGCATCGGTGTTAGGTTATTGTACTTTATAGGATTTGGGCGTTTTGAACATCATTTTGTTCCACTATGTCAACAACACCTCATAATAGACGCGATTTATTTATAATACAAAAGCAGCTTTGGTCCATTGTTATTTGAAAGTCAAACATAGTGATACAAATGAGGTGGGTGAAGAAAGCTAACTGACGTAACTCATTTTTTGTAGGTACGTGATGAGAAGGCCCAGCTGAACCGCAGGGTGGACGGACTCGGCGAAAGGCTCCACAACCGAACCTCTCAGCTGGAGGAGCTGGCCGGCCGCCTGAAGGAGTTTGAAGAAGGCCGACAAGCTGTGGAGAGGAGGCTGGAGGCTGCCAAGCACCAGATTGAAGTTCAGGAGGCTCTAGGGCCTCAGGTACTGACATATATAGGTCACAAACCTGCTGCCATTTTTATTTAATTGTTCGACAAAGGGCAAACCGGCACTGTGACAGCATGTTAAATCCACAAGGATTCATGTGCACTTCTCTCCCATTCAGGCGTGCAGTGCTAAAAGCCTGGAGAGGCTGAGGAGTCAGCAGGAGAGTCTGAGGTCTCTGCAGCCTCAGGTGGTTTACCTCAGAGATCTGGCCCAGGGGCTGGTGCAGGATGCACCCCAGACACCAGGTGGCAGAACCGAGGGGGCACAGAGACTCCAGGACCAGGCCAAAGACACAGAGAAAGAGTATGACGGCGTTACTGACAAGGTGAGCAGCAGAGACATAGTCAAGAAAAGATACCAAAAGTGAAAATGTATTTTTTGTTACGAATGCAACTAAATTTAGATGTTTTGCTCTCATTGAGTCTAGAGCTCCAGGTTTGCAAACCATCACAACAAACATGCCTCAAACCATTACATCTGCAAAAAGAACTCACATATTGTAGCATTTCCTCTCTAGACAGAAATCATTATGCTTTGAATAAGTAGATGTGTGATATTAGAAAGAACTGACTGTGTGATATTTTATTTTCTGTGATATGAAGAACAGCTGAGTAAGTACAACACAGGTATAATTCTTAAACTCTAAGAAGCAGTCTGTAGCCAGAACACTGCAGTCTGGTCCACTTATTGAGCCTTCACTGTTCACCACATCGTCTGATGTTGCTCAGACTAGACGTCTCTCATCGAAGTCCATCTCGGCGATGTTCCAAACAGAGGCTGCACAGTTGTTAGTCCTCATTAACAAAGCGGACAGTCAGACTTATCGATGCTGTCTGTCTTGTACGGCTAGACCACAGGTCCATTTTAGCTGCATAATATTCCACACAGCTCTGTTTTAACTTGCTGTTTTCATAACGTTCTGGATTAAAAGTTGGTGTGTGATGGTGTTATATATTGAGGTCATGTTTTTCAAAGCCTCTGTGGTAGCTGTGTTGATGATCATGTATTTAAAGAAAAAGTTCTCACATCAGTGATTTTTCTCTGCAGTTTAGAACCTTCTCATACTGTGTAGTCTGACTCACAGGGTGTAGGATGAAGTTATAAACCTAAAATTTAGTGTATTCAATAACCCCTAAGTTGAAGTAAATGATGTTCAATCGGACAGACTTCTTCTGTAAATGGATCACAAAAAAGTAAGAAGCGTACAAGTTTTCTTTTTGTGTCAAGCGTCAGAAAATGTTGTAGCCTGATGTGTTTGAGTTCGTTTGATTTACTTCACGTCACAACGTCCATGCTGAATGAGGAGCCCTAATGCACAGCTTAGTTGAGATTCAGATGAATGGAAGTGGGTTACCGGTTTGTGTCGGCACTGAACTATGTTCTTTGCTTCATAGTTGATTGTTTTTGGAGTGGGCTTCCTCTTCCCAAACCTGATCAGCTATCGCCAATGAAAGCCAGTGAATCTCCAAAATACACTTGACCCACATATTAAATCAGTGCAGAATCTGCCACCCGGGAACTACTTTGGAAAAAGAGCAGAACAGGATGAGAGGAGGGCGATGAAAGGAGCCATAACAGTTATGAATTAATGTAGCCTCAACGATTTATGCAGGCTGCCGTGGAGAGATGTTGTACAACCAGAGGAACTATATATATACAGCGCGGGTCATTGTGTTAGAGGGTGTCAGATGTGCTGAATGTGTGTGTGTGGGTGCTGAGCAGACAAGTGTCGGCAAGCTGAGCGAGAACAGAACAACGTTAGCTGTCAGAGGAGTTTGGCTATTACAGCTACAGTAGTCATATATGGTCAGCGTGGACATTCAGCACTTTGTCATAGTTTGAAATGTAAACCGGAGCGTCAAGAATTCAGCAGCCACACTGTTGCATCTATTTTCTGCAATCCAGCCTCCAAATATTCCATTTAAGGCTACAGCTATCTCGCTGTGTGCAGCATCCAAAGCATCGGGCTGAGTCGTTAGTCACCGACATGTTTTATTTATCATGTTTGAAATATCGATCTGATGTCATTGACAAGAGCTGTAGGAGATGATGCAGATCTGGTTAGATAATGCTGCTACTGTCTCCGGCTTCCACCTACTTAGAAAAAATCTATTTTTACTTGCTGTTGTGTTGCATCATCTTCCAGTCTGGTTGCACATTGTTCTGTTGCAGGGAGTATTAACACACAGCCTCCTCTTCATCTGATTAATCTGTGTTTGAAGAGGCAGTTGAATATCATCACTGTTGCTTTTTTTTCATAGTAAATTTCTTTTTGTTGCAATTTTTTTTTAACTTCACTCCAAAAATATTCCCAAAGAAGTGTCACTAAAAAACACACGAAAAACATCGTTCAGCTCTCCACCTTTTAATTGTTCTTATAAGGAGATGGGGAGTGAGGGGATGTTAGCCGGGTTTCCTTAACATGACTTTATGCACATACTGAAGTATCACATCAGAAAAGTTAATGGAAAGGTCAAAATGTGAAAAAAAACGTCGTAAATTTCACAAAAACGTTTTGCAAAACTCAGACTATACTTTGCGTATAAGTTCTGACTGAACCTTTAACTGACGATTCTTTTTTTTCAATGCGTTTGTCTCAGAACAGTATGAAACATGTCCAGTACCAGCTGATGTTAAACAATAATGACTGTTCTGATTGAAAAACGATTCCCAAAGGACAAAGTTTTGCATGTTTCTCCTTCGTCAAAGTATTTTAGAAGTTGACAAACCACCGTCTTGTGCACCCCCTTCAGGAAGAAAACTCTCTGTCTCTGATTGACAATGCAGAGCTTGGTGATTATTGGTTATGAATTTCGTACTCGCTGGTAAAGGTGGGAGGTTCACTAGTTGTGGGAGGATTGAGGAATGACAGAAGTAAATGCCTTCTTGTCTGATCAGCTTTTATTTTACACCTCATAGTTTATATCAACCACAAGGTAGAAATGGGTTTTCACCGTATGAAAGCAGTCTAATGCACATTTCTGTTATTGTTTCAAAAGTTTGCCTTTAAATTTGCTTGGAAACACTAACCTTTAAATTGGAAGGCAGGCTGATTTTGTATTTTTAAGTTGCGATTCACTTTATGGTAAAATTCAAGAGTAACTGATGAACCCGCCTCCTCCGTTAGATCGAGCAGTGCTGCTCCTCCCTGGAGTCTCGGCTGCAGGGCGTCGGCGAAGTCCAGGCTCACGTTCGAGACGTCTTCTCTCGCCTCGCCGACCTTGATGATGAACTGGACTCCCTCAGTCCTGTTGGACGGGATGCAGACTCTCTGGCCTCTCAGGCCGACGCCCTGAAGGGCTTCCTCTCCCGCCTGGCCAGCCTCAGGACCGAGCTGGAGAGCCATGCGACCGAGTGCACCACCATGCTGCGACGAGAAGGCTCCTCGCCTGACCTCCTGGCTCTCCGGAGGGAGACAGAGGCTTTGAGCCGCCAGGCCGGCAAGGTGGGTCAAAGAACTATGAGGCGATGGCTGCTTTGTTTAGTGCTGTTGTTGACTACGTTTACTTATGTGATGTAAACCCTTCATGCGTATCTCCAGCTGAGCGAGCGCGGTCAGGCCAGATTGGACCAGATCGAGGATGCTGCAGACAGGGTTCGGGATTTCTACAGGCTGGTGGCTGAGCTGCAAGGCCTGCTGGGAAGAGCAGAAGAGGGGCTGAACGCTCAGGGCCTGGTGGGCACTGAGGTGGAGATGATCAAGCAGCAGCTGCAGGAGTTCAAGGTAGGACTCGCTGGTTGTTAACATGGATGTCTGAAGATGTGTGTGTGTGAAAGCAGCAGTTTTGAAGATTCATGTCAACGCTTGTGTTGAGGATTTGCAGTATGTTGTTGTGTTTGGTTATTGTGACTGCAGTGCATGTGTGCACATCCATTAGTCACTGACTCAGGCGGTTGTATTATGATATCTGCTTGGTTGTGGGAGCGAGGTATGGAAGAATCTCAGGGGTAAAGAGGTTACATGTGTTTCTGGTCACAGTCTCTCTTTCCCATCATGCCATAGAAATGAATTTGCACAGATAAACAGAAAATCTTCAGCGTAACGTGAGCTTCGGTTTAGAGCTCTTTGTGTGTCATGAATAGAGACATTCAATACATGTGGAGCCTCTGAGGAGGTCTGTATCTGAGCTTTTCCTCTCACTCATACCTCCAGAGACCATGAGGTAAGAGAGTGTGTGTGTGTGTGTGTGTGCGTGTGTGTGTGTGTGTGTGTGTGTGTCCTGTTGTGTGTCAGGACTCAGAGACTGTGATTAGTTGAGTCACACGTCTCTTTGAAATTCCTGACACACCGCTGAATCACGCAGCTTTTTTGCTTTAAAGGAGTCAGAGGAGTAGTTGTGATGCTCTCAGTGTTTCTCTCAACATTTCCAACTCACACATGCACACACTCTCCTCTAATAGCCACATTTCATACCCCTCCCTCTTTATGATTTTAAGGCGCCACCCTTTTAGCGTTCTGCCCTTGTTAGCCTGGTCGCTGTGTTGATGGACAACAGTCTAAATTTGATACCAGAGCAAATCGCACGTCTCCTTCTTTCCCATCGCTTCCTTTCCTTGTGGCCAACGCAAGCTTGGCACTGTTGAAGCACCAGGAATTACTGTGCTGCTTCTGTTTTTGTTGTTGTTGCCGCTTTTACCTCAAGCATTTGACGGTTATTGCAAAGTACAAGATGGCATCTGAGGACACAGTTCCCAGAAAGAAGAAGTCTGGGTTTTGCATAGTGCATTTAAACTTGCTAACTAGGTTTTTCCTGGCTCGGAATGGGTCTTTAAGGGGGCACTATTAATGACAGTAGGCATGATCGGTCCATGTAAAGTAATAAGACTGAATGATATGCGAAAAAAATCCAAGTGTAATTATTTTGTCAAATTTGCAGCGTGAGTCATGATTTTAGTGAGAATGGTAATTTTTGCTTTTCGTTTCCACTGAAACAAATATAAAAATGATGATGGGATTTTTGCTGCGTGTTCCCTTAGGTCTGGAGAATATGATTTGTAGGCCTGGGCATCTCTGTCACACTGCAATCCGTCATTTATAATTGTATGTTGTGGCACTTTGTACCTTGCAGCTCCTGCGATTTGGATATTGCACTTGGTCATGTAGCGATTTCAATATTATTTCAAATAATTGCTTAGCCTTGGCTTAGAATAAAGGCAATCTGACAGAAAGCTACGCAGCTTCCTCATATTTCTGACCATCTGATAAACAAAAATGTATATTATGCTTGTGTAAATGAAGGTCCAATTAACAAGAGTCTTTGAGACATGCCAAAAGTTCCTCTATGGAGGAAAAACACTGTAAACTTTTAGATACAGCTTGCACTGTGTAGAAAATGAAGTTTTAATGATATAGTTATAGATAGTGAGAGACTGCTATTCATATCAGCAGAGCACAGCTTGACTTAAAATGGGAAAAATGAAAAACAAGCATAAAGCAATGTAGAGTGGAAGTATAAATAATTCAAAGAGCTCAGCCAATCAACAGCTTTCAAAGCTTATTGGATAAAGCCAAAGGGGTGACTGATGATGTCACCTAACTGGAAGAAAATGTCAATAAAAAGGCAAAATGTCATCAGAGTCTTTTCAAATGATGCAGCCATGAATTACCGTTGTCAAATGTAGAGAAACTGGCAGATTTAAGACTGATTTCTTCTGTAAGGAATATTGTTTTTTGTAAAAGTTAACGGGGGAAATGGTTGCAATAGACATCATTTATCTTGAAAATAATGATATTAAAGAACCCATACTCTGGGGTTTTTCTTTTCCTTCAATGTGTTATATGGCTGCATTTTTATTCAGATTCTCTCCCACAAAAAAAATCCCTCTTCTCCATAGCTGCCTGAAACACCTTGTTTCACCAACGACGTTTTTACTTATCTACATCATCATGTAACACATTTGCATAACGCCTGCCTAGCAGCTAGTGTAGCCAAATCGTCAAACAAAGAGCTTCCTCGCAGTCCAACATTATTTCCCAGCTGCTTCTGCTAGAAGGAAATCCCAATCTAGGTTTACTGTACGTAACCATTGTGGCCTCGCTTTTACTGGACTTGCTGACCAGTCAGAGCTGACTGGACTTACCAGGACTTAGAGACAGGAGCTAAAACAGAGTGTTTCAGACAAAGCCTGCAAGAGGTAGAGTAAAATAGAGTGTTTCTGAACATTACAGCTTGTAAACACATTCTAGCAGACCCCAAAAATAAAGTTATGAAGCTGTAATTGAGCATACATATGGGTCCTTTAATATATGCAAAGGTACGGCTGCAACTATTGACTTACTTTTTAATCGGTCACAGATTTTTGTTGGTTAATATAAGATGACTGAAAGCTCAAAACTCCCACTACAATTTCCAAAAACAATAGTATTTATAAAAAGCTTGTTTTGTTCTGTCAGAAGTCCACCATCTACAATCTGTCTTTAGGAACCTAAATCAATAAGCAGCTAATTATTTAGGACAAGTGTAAACTAACAAGCAAACGCTGGGGAGACAAATGTGTTCTGGATGGATAACAGTGCACAAGTTTATTCAACTGTCTGAGTTCCTGTTTACAGAGTCCTTTTTGTGTTTCATGTGTTTACGCATTCTTTATTCTGAGGAGTCAGCATAAATAAATAAAGTCTGCACGGTCGTAGTGTGTAACTGTTAGCTGCATATTTCTTCTGTGTTGCTGTCATTCAGCCTTAATTCCTAAATGAATTTAAAGAGACATTCCTCTCTTTCGTAGCAGACGGCCTCAGGAAAGTGCTCTTCTGACACCTCCATTGTGTTTTCGTGCGTTACTCTCTTTTCGTGGACACAGGCGACTCTTTCAGTCCGGCTACTATCATTAAAGAGCACATTTTCTCGCCGTGATGTAATATCCTTCCACTTCAGACAGCGATGCAAGTATGTGAGAGCTCAGGAGAAGCACGCACGAATCCCACGCACCGCCACGACGCCGCTCTCTCCCATCTGCAGCCGAGAAGGTCGCGCTTCCTCGAAAATGATCGATGACTCATGTGATATGAGCGCTAATCATTTTCGTGCATTTGAAAAATTTAGTAGGAGTCCTGCTCGTCCCCTGGAGAGTGATCGGCTCCACTGTTGTTAAGATGTGTGGGCGGATCAAAGAACATTTTTTTTTATCCGTTTCGTGGGACGTTTCTGCTCCTGTTTCTCCTCATCCTGCTCTTTCTTTCTTTCTTTCTTTTTTTCCCCCTCAATCTTTTGGGATATTTTGAAGCATCTCTCACTCGCCCTACTAACCTCTGTGTTTGCATATTTCTTCAATCCCTCTGCATGTTTCTGGGTCTTTTTTTCGTCTTCTTCTTCTTCTGGCCCCTCGCTGGGCTCTTAATGAGAGCAAACGGGGAAATGTGTGGCAGAGAACAAACAGATAGAGGAGATAAAGAGCTGCTGAAAACAAGGGGAGAAGGATGAGAGGAGAGATTCAGAGAGAGCTGGGAGAAGATAAATAGGCTCCACTTGGAAACGGAGCCAGATCAGACAAAGAGTGTGAAGCCGGTGCATATTTTGTAGCTAAATTAATGGCAGCGGGCAGATTTACAGGTGTGTCAGTGCACCGGATGACTGAGAGTTACTGAGCCAGAGACATACTTTGTGTTTTTTCCAATTTAACCTACTTCATGTGCAGAAAATGTCAACATAAACAAAAAAAATCCACAGTGCATTATCTGTCTTTGAACAGTGTTTCAAGTTTTAAATGAATGAAGAGAGACAAACACATAGAATTATTATTGGTGGCTTTCAAAACACATTTAACAATAAATACATGCACAAATTCAGTGTTGATATTTTGACTGACAGGTACAATATTTATGTCATGAAGAGAGTGAGACATTACTTGAGAACCACTTTTCTTTAAAATACAAATACAGTTTTTAGCCATATTAACAGCTGTTTCCATATTTCTTTCCAAATTAAAATATCTCAACAACTACCAGATGGATTCTCATTAAAGTCAGTGCAGACGTTCACAATCCTCTGATAATCAATCTGTCTGACTTTAGAGATTTTCATTGTGCAGTAATATGACATTCACATTTGGGGCGTTAGTGGCACATCTTAACAGCGATTTGATGAACAGTCAGAAATGTTGCTTCATGTCCTGCTCAGGGTTAATTGTATTAGCTTTTGTGATTCTAATGTAGCCCTGTAGCACCCAGTATTGCAATAAATTACAGAAAATGCCATAAAATTGGCACTTAACCTGATCGAAAATGTAATAAAAACCCAATAATGTAATAATGTGACCAATAAAATCTCTGAAATGATGTCAGCTTGACATTAAAAGTGACGTAGTAACCTGTTATCACCAAGTGGAACAAGAATTTATGATCGGTTGTGTAAGTTTATGTCAGGTGTCTTGCAGTGCGTATGTAGCTCTTATNTACAAATGTTAGTTTTTTCTTTTACTAAATTTGACCCTAAAGTTACACAACTTGTACAGCCAGAACAACAACATTATTTTACAGCTATTTCAAGTTGCTTTCAGTGTTTCACAGTTTTTGAACACTGCAGTATTATTAAAATGTATGCTAGAAAAATGGTAAATAACTTTTTAACTGTCATTTTATAGATATTTTTTTTGATTTGTTAAATTACAGATAATATCTAGATAATATCAGCGTTTGACCGTAACATTGCAGGATTTTCCAATATCTAAATCAGATAAAACACAACTAGTTTACAGATATTTTCTGTTATTTAAAAGACAAAGTAT